TTAAAATAAATATATATTTATTTATAAATTAATTAAGTGTATGTAAATATAAAAATATCACAAATATTTGGGATCTCATAAGAGATACGATCTCAAATTAAAAAACAAAAAACAAAAATCTCTTCTATAAACAACAAAATTAAAAACCTTAAAATGAAAAATAATTTTTACTTAATTGCAAACTTTGCTAGAAGTTTTGACATCTTTCACTATAACAGTAATATACCTCATTTAGTTTCTAGTATTTTTTATACTGAAGAATTAAAAAGAGAAAAATTTGAAAACATTCCTTTAGACAAAGATAGAAATTTAAATATTATATATATAAAGGACTCCGATATTAATAATTTAAGTCTTACAAAACCTAGAGATCATATAAATATAATTGAAATACCTAAAATTTATTTATTGAAAGAAATATTAAACAGTGATGAAAATAATGAAATAGATCCTAAATTATTAAATAAATTAAGAGGTCAAAAAGTGTTTAAAGAAATAATTGATTCTTTATTAAGTGATTACCAAAATTTTGATAAAATAAAAAATATTAATCTAAATCAATATATCTTTATATTTGAGAATTTAAATTGGTTTACTGTACAATTAATATTTAAAAATTTAAATATTGTATTAAGTGGAGGTACTTTAAATAAAAGACATATAGTTTCTACGACAAATTTTAATTTAATTAAGTTTTTAATTTCATTAGATTTTAAAGATAAAGATATTTATAATAGTTTTAGTCATTTTTATAAATATGAAAGCAGCAAAGAAATAAATTTAAATAAAAATCAGATCCTTAATATGGATAAAGCATTAATGTTAAAAATTATTAAAGATCTAAATAATCTAATTTCTTCTGAAGTAAATACAGATTTAAATACAACAAAGAAAGAAATTAATACTTTAACTCAAAATGTGATTAACTTAGAGCAGGAAAAGTTAGAATTTAAAAATAAAAAAATACAATTAAATAAAAATCTTAAAGATTCTAAAAAATTAATTTCTTTGGATAAAAGCATAGAATCTTTAAATACAAGAATAAAAGCTCTAGAAGAAACTTTATTAAATTTTGAAAATTTAATAAAATATTTTTATAATCGAGAAGAGGTTACATCCAAATTAAATTTTGACGAACTAAGAGAATTGTATATCGAAGATTATTTAAATCTTAGAACAAATCATTTAAAGAAAAAAATAAAAGAGAGTTTTCAAACTAATCATAAAAAAATAAATAAAATTAAAAACCCCACTCCAAATTATTCAAATCTAAGAAGATTCAGTAGTTGAACTAGTTTATTAAAAAAAAATATTATTAATATTAATAATATTCAAGAAAGAAAATTTTCTACTTCTAAATTAAATTTAAATATTGAAAGTTCTAATTCTAAATTCTTTACAGATAAAAAATTTAATCTTAATGATATAAATTCTAGAAATCTTTTTTTAAATTATTTAGATGAAATAATTAAAGATGCTCATTTAGACCCTATAGGTTCTCAAAATAAATTAGAAACTAAATGGACTGAATATTATTTAGAAAAATCAAATAGTTTTGAAAAAACTAGTAAATATAATTTTAAAACCGTAATAAATAAATCATTAGAAACATTAAATTTAAAGAACAAAACTAAGACTTTTAAGAAAAAATTTCCTTTATTTTATGATAAAATAACTAAAGATCATTTAATAATAAGCTATAGTATTATTACTACATTTTATGAAAAATTAGGATTTACTGCTATTGCTTTTAAATTAGCGAATGATATTTTATTTAATATTTATGCTGAAGAGTGGAAAACTAATATTAAAGATAAGTATATTCCTTTCCAAATGTTCCTTTCAGCTAAGGGTATAAATGATATAACTAAATTAAACTTAGGTAATTTTTTTATTGAAATCTTTTGTAGTAAACCCACAAATTTATTTGAAAGAGTATATAAAGAAACAGATAGCCTAGATAATTTAGAATTCAGTGAAAATGATTTAGCTAAGTTAGTAGTTAATGAAGAATATTTGGATTTTATAAATAAAAATTTTATCCTTTATAATCATTCTTTACCTATGTTATGTAAACCTAATTTATGAAATGAGAAAGAATATGGAGGATTTTTAGATAATAAAGAAAAAATGAATAGTGTAATAACAGGCTCTATCCATCAAAATCATTCAGTAGAATCTAAAGATGAATTATATAAAAGTATAAATAAATTAAATAGTGTAAAATTAAAAATTAATAATGAATTATTAACTTATTTAGAAAGTGAAGGTCTGTATATTTTAAATTATTATTTTAAAAATAAAATAAAAGATCAAACAGATTATAATCAAAACTTAATCACTTTAAAATTAGCTAATTCGTATTCTAAATATCAAAATCCTATATATATCAGTTGTAATGCTGATTGGAGAGGAAGAATTTATACTCAATCTTTTTATTTATCTTATCAAGGTGGAGATTTATCTAGTTCTTTAATTAATTTATTTGAAGGAAATTCTTTAAATGAAAGTGGTTTAAATTATTTTTATATTTATGGTGCCAATTGTCACAATGAAAATGATTTATCTAAAGAAAGTTTTGATTCTAGAATTAATTGGGTTAAAACAAATTACGATAAAATTATTAATCTGAATAAAGATTTAATTTTAAAAGCAGATAATTTATTCTTATTTACATCTTTCTGTTTAAATATGAAAAAAATACATGAAGATAAAAATACTAAAATATATATGCCTATTTACTTAGATGCTACTTGTTCTGGAATTCAACATGTTTCTTCATTAATTTTAGATTTAGATAGCGGGAAAAAAGTAAATTTAACTTCGCAAACTAAAGATCAAAAAGTAGGAGATATTTATACTGAATTACTTAAACCTATTAATTTAGCTATTAATCAAAAAGGTATAGAAAATCCAGAAAAATATCCTGAATTTAGACATATAAAATTAAAAAGAAAAAATATTAAAACTCCTATTATGACTAAAATTTATAATGTTACTGTTATAGGTATTGCGGATCAATTAAGAAATTCTTTTGAAAAAGTAAAAATAAATAACAACACTTACTATAAGGTACCTTCTTCCAATGGTTCTGTGAGAATCTCTTATTTAGATACTTTTGAGATAGCCCAAATAATTAATAATGAGATTTTTAAAAATTTACCTTCATTAAAAACCGTTTATGATTATTTTAAAAGTATAGTTAAAATATGCCTAATGTTTAGTATACCTATAAGTTGGTTTACCCCTTCTGGAGTAAAAATAACTCAATCTTATACTAGATCTATTCAAAATAAAGTATCTATCTCATTTAAAAATAAAACTAAAAGCGCAATATTAAGAGAATTTACTGGCATTATTGACAATAAAAAACAAGCTCAAGCTATTATTCCTAATATTATACGTTCTTTAGATGCTTCTCATTTAATGAATATTCTAAATTCTAAAGAACTAGTTAATTATCCCCTACTTACTATTCATGATTGTTTTGGAAGCCATCCTAATAATATTAAACTTTTAAAGAACATAGTTATATTAGAATTTATAAACTTATATGCTAATGAAAGTTTCTTATTACTATTCCATCAAAGAATAATACAAAACTTTAAAGATAATCAATTTGAATTCTTTGAGGATGAAACAAAACAATTAGTTATTGTAAATCCTAATAATAAGAAAAAAATAAAAAAAGTCTACTTTCCTGAATTACCTAAATTAGGAAAATTAAATTTAAAGGATATATTAAAGTCTGAATATATAATAACATAAGAATATAAGCTTAAACCCCCCTCCATCATTAAAAAAATTTCTCTTTTTTTTTTTTTTTAATTTTTTTTCTCTTGATATTAAAAATAAACTAAAACTCTTTAAGTGAAAATTTTTATTTTTTTTTTTTACTCTTAAAACTTATACAAAAATGTAAGTAAAGATCCCTACTTTAAACCCCTACCCTCCGTAGGAGTCTTCTAAAACTTTATTTCTCTTTACTAAAAAGATATTATTAGTCTTTGAATATGTTTAATATAATAGAGTACAACCAAATATATTATAACTAAATTTAAATATAAGTAACATAAAGGTTATAATAGTTTAATATTTTTATCTTTCATACTGTTAGATTTTAAATTTATAAAATTACATAAGATGGGAGGGTAAAAAGAGTAAAATAGAATTTATTTTTTTTTTTCTTTAATTGATAATTCCTAATTTACTCTAAGTAAAATAGAATAAGATTCTTAAGTAAAGGGGGTTAAGATGTTTAATTTCACCTTCTATTAATTTAAATGGTTTAGTATTAATAAATTTATTTTCTCCGTCAAAGATCATAGCTCTCTTTCCATATGTGAATGCTAAAGTATATATTTCATTTTTAATTTTAATATTACCTTCTGAGATATTTTTATACCATTTTTCTTGTTTTAAACTTATTTTTTTATCTTTAAATAATAAATCTTGAAAATCTTCAAATTTTAAATTATTTTCTTTATTTAATTTAAAACCTTTAATTTTTAATACTTCCTCATTTTTAGTTTTACAACAATAAACTTTAGGTGCTAAAAAAATAGACTTTTCAGCTATATATTCTAATTTAAATTTTCCTAAATCATTTCCTACAAAAATATCAGGTAATTTTTTATCTATTGCTATACTATCTGTATCTGTATAATAAACATTTGTATTTTTAAAATTTTTAAATTGGTACATATATATTCTAGCATAGGCAGTTATAGCAGAGGCGATACCTACTGAAGTATTTAAGTTTTTTAAATTATCATCCTTATAAATAACATCTTTATTTTCTAAATAAGAAATTAATTCAGTATTATTATTAAAATTAATCACATTTGTTACATCTAACTTATTATAATAAATTTCAGAGTTTGAACTACTAATTACAAGATGTTCTTCTTTAACAGGATTCATACCAAATTTTCCGTATAAACTATTTAAAAATAATTTAGCTATAGTATAGTGAGGTGAAGACTTTGGACTATTTAATTTCATAGTATAAAAAAAATCTACATAATCATTAAAAATATATTTTTTTTCGAAAGTATAACCTTTTAAGATCTCTATTTTATAGTTTAACTCTTTAGCCTTTAATAATTCTTCTGAAAAATAATTATTAAATTATTAATTACTGAAATAGTTACTGGGAAAAAGATAGTTATAAAATAACCATTAGGTTATGTAAAATCCCTATTTAAAAGCACGTTATAATTTTATGTTCTACAGCCAAGGTTAAAGTAGGATGCGGGATACACCGACCCTAGGGCAGGCAGCCAAGGATTTACATATCCTCTATGTCAGGAGTTAGAGGCAAGAGTAGTTACTGAGGTAAAACAACCTTTTGTAGTACTAGGTTTTATTTACAAGATTTCTCTACCCCTACGGCAGGCAGCACCTCTCCGCCTCCGGTGCTTAGCCTCGGCTCGGACCGAGGTATAGCAGCAGAGCACTGGCTTATCCGGCTTGTTTTATTAGGAAGACTGAAATATATAAATATTTTTAGATGTAAAATTTACTTTTTATATTAAAAGAGAGTAGCTTTAAAAATAAAATACTAAAAATTATCTAGAATACATTTATTAACTTATTCTGTACATAAAAATAAAAAAAAAATATAAAAATATAAAAAAATAACAAAATTAAAATTTTTTCTTATACTTATAAGGAATCGAAGGCCTGGTTTTTAAAAAGTCTTTATAATTAATATAATATATTAATTTTTAATGAGTTGTAGTTTAATTGGAAAAACACCATTTTTTGGTAATGGCTTATATCAGTTCGAATCTGGTCGACTCAGTTTTATATAAAAATCTTATTTAAGTACAAAAAATCTACCAGGTAAAAAAATATCACAAAGTTTAAATAATTTTAGGAAGCAGAACTCGAGCGGTTTGAGTGTCTCCCTTTTAAGGAGAAAGTCCTGGTTCAAGTCCAGGTGCTTTCAATTTTTAGAAAAGTCCTAATAATATACTTTCTAAATACAATAGAATTAGTATCTTTCTTAATAATTAAAAACATAAAAAGAAAATAGGAAAATAAGAATATTAAAAGAATATTAAAAGAGTCTCAAGATTGAGATTATTAAAGAGATAAGATCTCAGGAAATTTACTAATTTTCTATTTTTTAAATTTAAATTTTAATCTTAAATGATAAATCGGTCTGGCCACCCTCTCTCTACCAAAATTACGACCTTTCAGGACAAAGAGTCGAAGGCAGAAAAAAGGTAAGGCTTAGGGTTGCTGCTGCTATACCTCCGAGCCAATCCTCCTCTCCTCTGCTATGCTGCTATGCTGCTATGCTGCTATGCTGCTATGCTGCTATGCTCCTATGCCCTTCTCCTCCTCCGGTCCTCCGGCTCCGGCCGGTGCTAACCGCCTCCGGTCCTCCGGCTCCGGCTTATAAAAAGGCAGCCTAAGGAGTAAAGCAAGGAATAAGTATAAAACTATTTATTTCTTTAATGTACAAACAAAATTCAAAAGAAAGTAATAAATTTTATTTAGTAAAAAGTCTACAAACTATTAATTTTATTATTATTTAAAAGAGGTAAAATTAGTTTAATTGGCAAAATGACGTCTTGTGGCGACGATGTTCAGAGTTCAAGTCTCTGATTTTACCCTTTAAAAATATTTTTTATTCTGTCTCTTTTGTAATTATTTCTAAAAAAGTAGAAAAATATAACATCGTTTTTCATCTTAAAATATTGCTATAAAAAAATAAATTTATTACTCTACAAAAAATTTAACCTTACAAAATAGTCCTGTAAGACTCGCGCCTGAACACGAAATATTAGTAAAATTTTTACCTTTTAAGGCCTCTAGTAAAACAAAAAATAAATTTATACTATAAAAAAGAATAAGAATTTAATCTTCTTATTTGTCAGACGCTATCTTATAAATTTTTATTCGTTATGTTAACTTTTTCTTTCAAGTTTAAAAGTTATATTAAAAATCTAATAAACCTTCCCAAGAAAATTTACTGGAGTAAAAACTTTAAATAAAAATATAGGAACTCTAAGCTTAGGTTTATTTATACTAATTGGACAAACACTTATAAAATACAATATTTATTATGCAGGTGCAGAATATAAAGATATTCTTACTTATAATTTACCTATAGGAAACTATAGTGAATCTTATAACTCTAATATTGATTTAATAACTCAAAGTTCTTTCTTTTTATTCTAGAAATTAAATAATAAAATACCATCTTGGTTAAAACTAATAATTAAATTATTTTTTGTACATCAGTTTATTTATAGTCAAATTTTTAGGTTTTAATATAAATACATCCAATGTTTTTATTTTAAAATTTATTCTTTAAAAGTATTTTGTTTAACTTTTAACGTTTTCGTTCTTTTGGAAGAGTTAATAACTTTATATTTACTACATAAATTTATAAAAAATTAAATAAGTATATCTAAAGTGTTACCTGATTTTGTTATTAAGTATTTAAAATTAGAGATGTCTAGCAGAGAAGAATTAATAACAGAATTTATGTACAAAATTAAGTTATATTCATATCACAATGTATTTAATAGTTATAATTGTGTTAATATTGCTTTAACAAAAAATAAAAAATAAAAAGTATTGAATTACTTTTTTTACCTCTACCTTTATAATTAAAAAAAATAAATAAAAAAAAAAAAAGAATACTTAAAAACTTATGTACATCTCTTATTCTTCTCTAGAACGAGCATAATAATAAAATTTAAAAATTTAAACTTTTTATTATTTATGTACTCTAAAAGAGTATCTTATCTTTTAGCTTTTTTAATGAAACAATGAAACAAAAAATGCAAAATTTAAATTTTATAATAAATTCACCTTTAGAACAGTTTGAAGTTACTAGTTTAATTGGACTAAATGCTCCAATTTTTGGTTATTTAAATACAAGTTTAACTAATTTAGGACTTTATTCTTTATTACTTTTATTCTTAGTAGTAGGGTTACATTTTATGGGTAATAATGAAACAAAAATTATACCAAATAAATGGTCAATTAGCTTAGAAAGTTCTTTTGCTAGTTTAAGTAGTATGGTTAGAGAGCAAATAGGAGTAACAAATGAAATCTTTTTACCTTTTATTTATTCCTTATTCTTCTTTGTATTAATAGGAAATTTAATTTCTAATGTACCTTATTCTTTTGCTATAACTTCTAGTGCTATAGTATGTTTAGGTTTAAGTGTTACTATCTTTATAGGTGTTACTTTATTAGCTTTATCTATACATAAAATTAAATTCTTTTCTTTCTTTATACCTTCTGGTACTCCTTTAGCATTAGTTCCTTTATTAGTTTTAATTGAATTAGTTTCTTATGGAGCAAGAGCTGGTAGTTTAGGAATAAGACTTTTTGCTAATATTGTAGCGGGACATACTTTACTGAAAATTTTATCTACTTTCTTATATAAATTATTTTCAGGTAATTTAGTTGTGGCTGTTTTAACTTTAATACCTTTTGGAATTTTCATTGGATTAGTAGGATTAGAATTAGCTGTTTCTTTCATTCAAAGTTTTGTTTTAACTTTATTAGTTTGTTCTTATCTAAGAGATGCTATTAAATTACATTAATTTTTAATTTTCACATTCATTTCCTGCCTGATACTACCTATTTCTAAGAGATAAGGTCCAATCCTCCCTCTAAAATGGAAGGTACGAACGACCACAAAGAATATAATTAAATTAAAAATTATATAATTAAATTTAACCCCCTTTATATACATCTAATAAGACCAAATTTCTTTTCATTTATTACCCGTTTCTAGAAAATAAAATAAAAAAATGAATAACATAATCTTAAAAACACTTAAATTCTTAAATAGAATCTTTTCTTATTTAAATGGTAAAACAAATACCTTAATCAATAAGAGAAATTACACTGATAGTATTAAGATCTCGGAAATTGAGTATAATACTAATGGAAGATTTTACAAATTTTATTTAACCAATGAACATTTATTAGAACACAAAGAAGCTCTAAAAGGTCTTTACAGCTCTTTAATGAATAATGATAAATTTAGAGATTTCGGCTTTTACAAAATTATAATCATTACAGCAATAGTTAACAGCAGTGAATATAACTTCCACCATAATGTTTTAATTACTAACAACACATCTTTCGAAGATTATTACAATGAAGTTAAGGATGTGATTAACAGTCATTATGGAAAAAGGGAAGGTGTTTACTTATCAAGAGGTGTGCCTTTATTCAAAGTTTTCGTTTGGAATATGGATAGCTATAGAAATAAGCACATTAAACTAACTAAATCCGCAGTTAAAGGTAAAGTAAATTTACCTTATTCCAAAACTCTTAATTCTTTTGCCTTAAGACAAACAAGAGGCTTTCATTCAAAAAGTTTAAAATCTGGCTTTCCCCTTGTAAAAAATAAGTCTCTTTTTATAAGATTTTTCAATAATTTTATTAAACCTATTAAACCGTCTAATTTCGATTCAATTTTAAAAGGTTTTGCAACCATGGATATTGAAACCATGGACTATCAAAATAAACAAGTTACAGTTTCAATTTCCACAGCTTACTACCACGCAGGTTTAAAATCTAAAATATTCTTATTAGATTACAATTTATTTAAAAGTGATTCTAATATGGCTATAAATAAACTGTGGTGCGACTATTTTAATTTTATTAAAGAAAATATTCACCTTTTTGACACAGTATTTGTTCACAATTTAGGTTCTTTCGATGGCTTTTTCTTATATAAAGCTTTGTGTAATAATTATTTTAATCACCCAGATTCCATTTCTACTATTATCGATGATAAAAATAAATTTATTCAAGTTAGTTTAAAAATTAATCCTAAACAAACAATGGTTTGGAAGGATTCTTACAGAATTTTCCCTGTTTCCTTAAAAGAACTTTGTAAAGTATTTAAAGTAGATGGAAAGTTTTCAGATTACAACCCTTTATTTAACAATTTTAACCTTTTTAAAGATTCAAAGTTATTAGAGGTGTTTACACAATATAGCTTACAAGATTCAATTTCACTTTTTAAAGCTTTAGATAAAGCTCAACACATCTATTTCGGTGATTATTCTGTAGATATTTCAACAATTTTATCAACTTCTTCTTTATCTTTGAAAATTTTTAGACAGAATTTTTTAAAAAAAGAAATCCCTGTTTTAAAGGACTCTGAAGATAATTTTATCAGAAGAGGTTATTTTGGTGGTGCTACAGATGTCTACAAATGTTATGGTAGCTACTTACACTATTACGATGTTAACTCTTTATATCCTTTTGCCATGTTAAACGAAATGCCTTTAGAAATGATTAAACATCATAAAGATATGAGTGATGTAAAATTAGAAGATTTTTTCGGCTTTTGCTTAGCAGAAATTTCTTGTCCAAACCATTTAAAAATTCCACTATTACCCTATAAAAAGGATGGTGGTACCATATTCCCAACTGGAAATTGGATTGGGGTTTATTTTAGCGAAGAACTAAAAGAAGTTGTAAAACATGGTTATAAAGTGACACTAATTAGGGGATACGAGTTTAGCAAAGCTAATTTGTTTAATGATTACATTCAACACTTTTACAATATTAAAAAATTCTCTTCCGGCCCTGAAAGATTCATAGCCAAAATGCATTTAAATCAATTATATGGTGTTTTCGGTAGACGAAAAGACAGCCTTCAAACTAAACTAATTCTAAATAGTGAAGTGGGTCCCCACTTAGCTAAATATATAGTAAAGAGTATAATTGAAATAAATGAGTATGCTTCAGTGTTATTAATTAAAAACAATGTTAATTCTAAGATTATTCAAAAATTGAATGCTTTCTTTGAAACTGATTTTATTCATCCTTCGCCTAGCATTTCTTTATTTAAAGTTTTTGTTTGAAATAAAGAGAATCTCAAAAAGAAAAAAATAAAAAGAACTAAAACCATTATAAAAAAAAAGTTTTTCTCTCCTGTTCCGTTCCTGTAAAAGGGGGTAGGGCCAACCTTTATTCTTTCCTACCGCAAGGTCTCTTCGGTTCTAGGGCTAGCACCGGCTGCTATGTTGCTATGCTGCTATGCTGCTATGCCCTTCTCCGCCTCCGGTCCTCCGGTCCTCCGGTCCTCCGGCTCCGGCTGGAAGTCTAAAAAGGCAGCAACATCCCGACTCTAACAGAGCTAGCACCCTGCCCTTGGCAGGAAAGGAGGACAAAAGAGATTATTTTTTTAAAAGAATAGAGTTAAGATATCTTACACTGGGATTTAAATAAAAAATTTAAATTGAGTAAGGTTCTAGGTTAATTAGGGTGTATCTTTAAGAACAAAATTAATTTTGTGGTTAAATTTGATTAGAATATTTTAAACTCTTTTTTTTAATAATTCTTTTAATTTCTTCTTTAATTTTATTTTTACTTCTTTGAATAAAAAATAAAAAATAAAAATATTTTAACACTTAAGTATTGTTTATATATATTAAGAAAAAAGTTATTTAAAACTATAACTCCTGCATCTTTACCTATGATTTTAGATAAAATTCAGTAAATTATAACTAATTTTTTCCGTAAGAAAAAAATTTTTCTTTTTTTTTTAAGCCTACGGGAAAAATAGTTTCTTTTTAAAACTAAATTAGTCCTATAGATAATTTCTAACTCTCATTTTTATTTCTGGGCTGCCTGCGGGTCTAGCCCCCCTCCACCTCTCCATCCTTCCATCCATCCATCCGGGATACACCGAGCCAAACCTAAGGCAGGAAGTATAAAAGGGCAGGCTCCTAAGGCACAAAATTTTTTATTGAATCATACATTTTTATTATTTGTTGATTTAGAACTTTCTACTTTTTTAAAATATAAAATATTTAAGGTATAAAATAGCTAAAATATAAAATATTTAAGGTATAAAATAGCCCTGATGTATAATCTAAATATCTATAATGTCCCTAATACTACAGCTAAAGAAAGAACTATTAAAAAGTAGCATTATAGAATATTTTAACTCGCCCCCCAGCTCCTGCCTTATTTCTCCTTTTCTCCTTTTAAGTAATCGTTCTGAAGTTAGGTAGTGAATGTTGATAAAGTCGTAAAAAAAAATTAAAGTGGTATGGTAAAGGGTTGGACACAGTTTCCTAGCTTCATATAATCTTAAAGAATAAATTGATATTAAAATTTAATATTCTTTGGTCTACGAAATTATTTTTAATATAAAAGAGGATAAGAAATGATTTTTTTAAGTATTTTAATATTAATAGTGGCTAAGGCCCTAATTTCAAACAACAATTTATCACCAGTATTATTTCCTAGAATTACAGCTATAATATTTATTTATGCCGGAGTATTATCTTTAAATACTTTTTATATTCAGTCAATTGGATCAGGTATAGGAATATATAGCGGTTTATTCCACATCACCTCTTTTTCTCAATTCATAGAGTTCTTTATCTATATAATAGGATCTTTAATTTTAATAGCTTGGCCTATTTTATCAGAAAAAACAATAGGTTCTACAGTATCTTCTACTCCTTCAATAGAAAACCTTACAAGTAATAAACTTTTATTATTAGATTTTTATAAAAGTAATTATTTCGCAGAATATTCTTTAATAATCATTTTTAGTAGTTTAGGAGCTTCTTTATTAATTTCTTCCTCTGATTTAATCTCTATTTATTTAAGTATAGAATTACAATCTTTTGGATTATATATTTTAGCTACTTTATTTAGAGATTCTGAATCAGCAACATCTGCAGGATTAAAATATTTTTTATTAGGTGGATTATCTTCTTGTATCATCTTATTAGGATGTGGATTAATTTATTCTTATACAGGGTTAACAAATTTAGATTCCATATATAGTTTAATTTCAGTATCAGAATTTAATAATATTATACAAGGTTTAAGTTTAGGTTTAACTTTAATATTTATAGGATTTTTATTTAAAATAGCTGCTGCACCTTTACATAATTGGTCACCAGATGTTTATGATGATAGTCCCACAATAGTAACTACTTGGTTAACTATTATGCCAAAAATATCCATATTATTTTTATTATTAGAAATCTATACTCAAATAGGAAGCAATGTTTATAATACAATAAATATAACAAGTTTAAATTTAGAAGTAGAATATTTAAATACTATGATTCCTTTATTTAAAGATTTAAATACTACATTAATAATAAAAAATTTATTATTAATAAGTTCCTATTATCTCTATTAATAGGAACAATAGTAGGATTAGCTCAAACAAAAATAAAAAGATTATTAGCATATAGTACCATATCTCATATAGGATTTATTTTATTAGCTTTATCTATAAATACCGAACAATCTATAGATTCTTTAATATTCTATATAATTCAATATACAATTACAAATTTAAATATTTTTTTAATAATTTTAGGTTTAAGTTATATAATAAAAAATTCTAAACTTCATTATAATAATTCTTTCCCTGTAATACAATCTGTAAAAGATATTAAATTTATTTCAGAATTTAAAGGTCAATTTTTCTTAAATCCTTTACTTAGTTTAAGTTTATCTATTTGTTTATTTTCTATGGCTGGAATGCCTCCTTTAATTGGTTTCTTTTCAAAACAATTTGTTTTATATTCAGCAATGCAAAGTGGATATTATTTTATCGCTATTGTAGCTATATTAGTTAGTGTAGTTAGTGCTTCTTATTATTTAAAAATTATTAGAGTTCTTCATACCTCAGTAGAAAACCCAGAATTAGAATTAAATACAAACTCTAAAAATTCTGTCTATTTACCTAATGATGTTAATATTTCAAATATTTCTAATTCTAATAATTTATCTTTTAAAAATGTTAATTTATTAACTAATTTCCATAGTTTCCTAATATCTAGTTTAACTTTATCTATTTTATTATTTATTTTAAAACCTTCTATAATCTTAAATATTACTCAAGTTTTATCTTTATCTTTATTTAATTTTTAAAATATGAATAATTTATTAATGTTATTTTTTTTTGTTCCTTTTTTAGCTTTTGCTTTACTTGGTTTAAATGTTTTATTAGCTACTCATAAACCTGATGAATCTAAAGTTTCTGCTTATGAATGTGGATTCTCTGTAATCTACGGTCAAACTAGATCTACTTTCCAAATTCATTTTTATACTGTAGCTATTTTATTCTTAATTTTTGATCTTGAAATTTTATTATTATTCCCTTTAGCAGTAACTCTGTATCAAGTAAGTACTTTTGGATTTTCAATTGGTATTGTTTTCTTTATTGTATTAACAATAGGATTTGTATTAGAAATAGGTTCTGGAGCTATATCTTTAACTAATTTCGACCAACCAAACCAAAAATAATAATTAAATTAATAAGAAATCTAAATTTAACCCCCTCCCCCTCTCTCTGGACCTACGATACATCCGAGGCTTGTTTACCATGCCTTTAGGTTTTGTAAACTCGAGATCTACAGGACAGGTTGGGACCTACAGCTCCGGCCCAGTGGGAATCTTATTACAACTTCTGACCTTAACGTCTCGGCTTTACCATTATCCTTACCTTCGGATACTTAGTTAAAAACAAATTTTTAAACTTAAAAGAAATAATCATTTAAAAGTAGAAAATAAAAACAATTCTCTAAATAAAAATAAGTTATAATTTATTTAGTTTAATTTTTATTTTCTTTTATTTTATTTCATTTTATTATAAAAGCCTCGGTTGCTTAGTGGTCAAAGCGCTATTCTGAAGATATAGATATGGGAGTTCAATTCTCTCCCGGGGCAAACACAAGTTAAAAAAATACAAATTTTATATACACTATAAAAAAATACCAGGAAAAAAATAGAATAGCCGAAATAGTTTAATTGGTAAAACGAATTCCTTGTAAGATTTAAATATTGGTTCAATTCCAGTTTTCGGCAAAAAAAGTTTTTAAGATCAAATAGTAAACAAATTCATATATATAAATTTGTCTGACGATTCTACAAACTAAAATAAAAAAGTTAGGTCATCCTCTAAGTAGGCAGGGCAAGAATAACTTTTTTTATTGAGTTGTTACTTTATTTTTGTTTTATAAATTTTTTTTATATATGTAATTGTATTATATTTAGTCTAAAATCAGACTTTATTAGAAAAAGTTTATAAGTATCTAGAATTAAAGTAAGAAAATTTGTTTTAAATTAGCCTTCCTTGCTATGCTACTTTCCTCTCCTCTCCTGCTACGCTGCTACGCTGCTACGCTGCTACGCTGCTACGCTGCTACGCTGCCGGTGCTTGGCTTAGCAGCCTGCCCTTAGGTTTGGCACGCTCTTGTATTAATAGGAGTATATTTCTTAAATTCTTTTCCTTCATTGTGGATTAGTTTCAATTTAAAGTATATTTAAAAATAAATCTAAGCTAAAACAAAAAAATACGAAACAAAAATTTTTTATGATTTAATTTATAAATTTTAATTATATTTGTATTATATTATATTTAAAAGAGAAGAGCCTTAGTTTATCTTAAAAAAATATATATCTATATACATATATTAAGGGCAGGTGATCCGATTGGTAATGGTGGTTCTCTTGTAAAAGAATTGGTTAAATGTCCGTAAAAGGTTCGATTCCTTTACTGCTCAAATAAACACAAAATTAAGGCTCAGTTCTCCTGCTCTAAAGGAAAAGGAGCAGAAGAAAATTTTATTTCACTTCTTTTATTTTTAGTCCTTTAAGATTCTAGGACAAAATTTTTTAATAAATAAATTTATTTTCTTAAAGACTTTAGCATAATGGTTAATGCAGTTCGCTCATAATGGATATTATAAGGGTTCGAATCCCTTAGGTCTTAAAATACACACTTAACTATAATAAGAAGAAATTTAACGTACTCTAGAAATTACACTATTAATTCATATAATATTTTAGTTTTTGTAGTCTCCTACTTAATATCCGAAAATCCTTCGAAAAAAAAATTAAGTATATTTTAATTAAGTATATTTTTTAATACTTTTTTAAAAGAATGAAAAAAAAAAAATTATTACTAAAAAAAAAATTAATTATTTATAATAGATAGTTTACTAAAGTAACTTTAAATTTTACTCTTTTGTGTAGGTCCCAACCTGTCCTCTCCTCCGAGGCTAGCACCGAGCCGGAGGAGGGTAGCAGCAGCGGCCTTTTTATCTACCGTAGGTTTGGGTCGGGACCTACAGGAGGAGAGGTTCTAACCTCAGGGTGGTCGGATGGACCGAATCTACAAACAATCCCTAAATGGAATGGGAGGAGTAAGTAATGGTTTAGGTTAGGAAAGTAGAAGGTGTACTGAACTCTAGGAACTGTAAGTCTCCGTAAGAGTCTGTAGCATCTGGTAAAAAGAGTAAAATTTGATTTAACAATATAAAAATTTAAGTTAAACAAATAAGGGCATTTGGTCGAGTCTGGTTTATGGCCCTCGTCTTGAAAACGAGTACTTCTTTGAAGTCGTGAGTTCAAATCTCACAGTGCCCGTTAAAAAAATATAGATATAAATTAAAAATATTTATTTAAAAAATATAATTATAAAATAATATTAAAAAAAATAAACAAAGAAATTCTGTATATAAAATAATTAATATAAAAGAGATATTAAATATTGCATTAAGCCCATAAAATCAACAATTACACAATTGTTTAAATCTTAGGACGAATTTAATTTTGGTTCCGATTGAACGTTTTCAGTAGTTTTAAGACATGCAAATCATTGTTCTAAAATTTCTCTCAAAATTTAATGTGCATAACATCAAATTCTGACAAAATTAGGAAATAAGGTGTAAAGGTGAGTAATGATAAATTAGATACCTTATAGACTCTCTAAATGGGGGATAAATATTACTCTATTATAATTCTCCATCTTAAGTTTTAACTAAAGATGTGATTTAATAATTGCTTTATTAATTTGAAAAATAATGAGGTTCTTTCTAGTTTAACACAAAAATAAACTTTTATAATTACAAAATTATATTAAAGAAAGTGAAAATATTGATAAAATAGCTATTTTATTAAAGAAAGGAATTTTTCTGCTATAAGATTCGATTTATTTTGTTTAGGTAGTTGGTAGGGTAAAGGCCTACCAAGCCTACGATCAATAGCCAAGTTTGACAGAACAAATGGCCACATTGGGAATGAAAAGCCCCAAGTAGTTTTAACTACCAGCAGTCGAGAATATTAGTCAATGCTCGAAAGAGTGAACTAGCTAACTGAAATCACATGACTCATTCTTATAGGTGGTGAATGTGATAAGGTGTAGGGAAAAAAATGATATTACCTCACTAAAAGTGTTGTCCAAATCTGGTGCCAGAAGACTCGGTAAGACCAGAAACGCAAACGTTAGTCATCTTAATCAGGCGTAAAGGGTATGTAGGCAGCTTTGAAAATTTTAATTTTAAAAATTTTTTTTTTCTTTTCTAGAAAAAAGAGTAGCTCTATTTTGTACATAAATTAAATAGTAAAAATAAAATCAATTAAAGCTAGAATCTAATAGAGGAAAAACCAAATAATACTTAGAGTAGGGATGATATCCATAGATACTAAGGGGAATACTAAGGGCGAAAGCTTTTTTTCTACTAAAGATTGACGCTGAGAAACGAAGGTGAGAATAGGAAATAGGATTAGATACCCAGATACCTCTCACTGTCAACGATGAATGGTGGTTGTTAGTTTTAATAAAAACTGATGGCGATGTTAACACGATAACCATTCCGCCTTGCGAGTACGGTTGCAAAACTGAAACCAAAAAAATTAGTCGGTCTCGAAGCAAACGAAGTGAAGCATGTTATTTAATACGACAATACGCGTATAACCTTACCAGACCTTGCATATCTAGCTCTTTTTATTTTTTTCATTTAATTTGAGTGAGTATATTTTAAACTTTTTTTTAAAATAATACGCAGATACAGGTGTTGCATGGCTGTCGTCAGTCCGTGTTGTGAAGAGTGAGGTTAACTCCACTAACGGACGCAATCCCTGTTGTTAATTTATACTTAACAATTTATGATTCTGATAGAGTTTCATTTGGGGCTAAGACAAGCCGTTATGGCCCTAATGGTCTGGGCTATAGACGTGCCACATAAACTTTTACAAAGTGATGCAAAACTATACCTATTTAAAATTATTTACTTAAAATTTATTTTTAAGTACATAATTTATTATTTATTTTTAAATAAAAAAGGTAATAAGGAATAGCTAATCATTAAAAAAAGTTCATTTTTAAAATGATTGAACGGATTGTCGCCTGAAATTCGGCGACATGAAGAAGGAATTTCGAGTAATCGTTGATCACGACGCAACGGTGAAGATAGCATTCGTGATGAACTAACTGTCTGTCGCTGGGAAGAAGCTTAACTTGGGGGAAACTGCCACGAAAATAAAACTTTAATATAAGTTTGCCTTTCTTTAATTTTGTTATTTTAGAAATTTAAATTATTAATTTAATTTTTTCCTAGTCCCTTATCCAAAAGATGAGGAGCCATAGGTAGGTAGTTTTTATTTATATATTTTTATTTAAGTATAAAAAATAATAATTTTTGCATTTAAAAAACACTTATATTAAGATATTTAGTATCTGTTAACCCATTTAAGTAACATCTCAAAAGTCATAGCAAGGTAGCTGTACTGGAAAGTGCTGCTGGAAAATAAAAAATATTGAATTTAACCCCCCCCCCCCTCCTCCGGTCCTCCGGTCCTCCGGTCCGAGCCAGGCCGAGCCGGTGCGTAGCAGCGTAGCAGCGTAGCAGCGTAGCAGGAGAGGAGGCTAGCACCGTAGTCAAATTTGTAAAGGTAAGGCGGGCGAAGAAGTGATAAAAGATGTTTGAGTTATTTAAAGGGATTATTTTATATATTAATAATTTCACTTAGATTTATACTAAGAATTTCACTAATAATTTGACTAAAAATATTTTAGTCTTTTTAAAAATATAAATATTTCTAACAATAAAAATAAAAGTCTTTAACTTTAAATTTATTATACAGTTATTAATAAAAATATATAAATAATATTATATTTTAATCTTTTATCCTTCGCTTAGGTTATCCTACTTTTCCATAAGGATAGAAATAGGGAGGATAGGGTAAAGCGAGGTATTTTTAGAATCAAAGTGTGTACTATATGTACATAAAAAAAGGGGTTAGCTGAGTGGTTTAGCAGTAAATTTACACTTTACAGACAGGGTTTCGATTACTCTACTCCTTATATTTTCTGGATTCTTTTTAATTTAGAATCTTCTCCTTCCTGAAGTACGGGTCCTTCGGGTCCTTCGGTTCCTTCGGGTCCTTCGGTTCCTTCTTTGCCTAGTATTTAGCGTCAGGTTAGTACACGAGCCTCCAGGATTGGAGGGATGGTTTATTCTCTTGATCCTTATTCTTACCTTTTGGTATTGAAAGGGTAAGTAAGTAAAAGAAAAGAATTGAATTATTATATTTTTTTACATTAAATAAAAAATTTCTCAATAATAATTTAAAACGAATATGCCGAAATTGGTAGCCGGGTGTGTCTTAGGAACACATGATTTTTGATCGTAAGAGTTCAAGTCTCTTTATTCGTAAAAATTAATAATATTCTTTTTATAGAATTCTTATTTTTTTTTTTTCCTTATACACTCGTACTTTACTGTAAAGATACCGGCCCTACCTTAATTATTTTTATCAGACCCTAGGATCCAACTCTAGGAATTGGGAAGCTCAGAATCATTCGGTCAAAGAGGCCTAACTTTTTTATTAAGTTATAAAAATAAATTTTATCTTTTTTATTAAGCTATAAAAATAAATTTTTTCTTTTAGTCTGGCATGCTCCGCTGTAGGAGCCTATCTATATCTTGCGTGCCTCTACATGTGACTCCTCTCCTCTCCTCCTGTAGCTCCCTGTAGGTCCCGAGTTTACAAAAACCTAAGGGCAGAGGGCTAACCCAAGGCAGGCCGCAGGGGAAACAAGCACCTGGACCTAAAGGCGGGGTAAACAAGCTCCTCTCCTATAATTTAAACCTACGGAAATAAGTATAAAAAGAATAAGTAATTATAAGTAAGATATTTTTTTTATATATTAAGTAATTAGACTATATGATTATTAATAACATCTTTAGCTGAATTTGGTAAAGCGTTTGCCTTCGAAGCAATTGTTTATTGGTTCGAGTCCAATAAGATGTCCTTAAATAGTATTTTTTAATTTAAGAATAGAGAAATATTATATTTTATGTTAGAAAATATAAAGTTTAAATTCATTTCTATCTAGACCAACATCCTACCGAAGGATCCTACTTAGAAGTTCCTGCTTGACCTCCCATTACCTTGCCTCGGAGGGCGAAATCTGATGAAAGCGATGGCAAATTTAAAGTCAGGATGGTTCTACCTTTGGTTTAAGGCTTGGATCTACGGAAAAAATAAATTATAAGAAGAAAGGAAATCTTTGTAATATAAAGTCTACTCCACATTTTAAAAGCCAAAGTCATAAAAATAATATAAAGAGAAATTAATATATTTCTTTAATCGTATATTTATTATCAATTAATATATTTCTTTCTAAACGATCAAAGATCTTTAAAAAAAAAAAGTTTTATATCTTTAATTTAGTAAAAGAAGGAAAAAATTTTTAAATTTTAACTAAGGAATAAATATAAAAAAATATTTATAAATGGCCAACGGAAAAATTAACTCCAATTAGGGCCCTTAGCTTAATAGGTAGAGTACCTAATTGTCAATTAGGGTGGTCCCAGTTCGAATCTGGAAGGGCTCGTATACGTACGGAGTGTCAGATAACTTTAAAATAAAGAAATAAAAATAAAATAAAATAAACACAAAAAATAAATTGAAGAATAATTAATTTTTTTAATTTAGAAACTTAAAAAAAAATAAAATAAAAATAAAATAAATAAAAATAAATAAACACAAAAAATAAAAAATTTTTATTATAAAAGAGAATAAGAATTTAATCTTCTTATTTGTCAGACGCTATCTTATAAAAATTTTTAAATTATGTTAGCAGCAGCAAAATACATAGGAGCAGGATTAGCTTGCTCAGGATTAATTGGAGCCGGAGCCGGAATCGGTTTAATCTTCTCTTCTTTAATCGCATCTACTGCAAGAAACCCTCAAATAAGAGGACAATTATTCTCTTACGCAATCCTTGGATTCGCTTTAGCAGAAGCTACAGGATTATTCTCACTTATGATTGCTTTCTTATTATTATACTCATAATTCTGAATCTTAATAATAATTAACAATTGATAACCCCCTTTATTACAAATTATTACAAATTATTACAAATAAAATAGTATAAGAAATTAATATAAACAAAAATAGTATTACAAATTAATACAACAAAATAGTATTATGTATTGTATTAACAATTTTAAAGAAATATTTTAAAGTAATATTTTAAAGAAATAAAAAATAAATTATTTATATAGCTGTTATATAAAATATTTAGACTTAATATTATACCTACCTACAGCTAAGCTTGTATTCGTTTACTTCTATCCTGCGAAGCCTCCGCTTCTTTGAGTCTACTATTGTAAGGTAAGAGGCATAAGGGCAAAAGGAAATAAATAACAAAAATAAAAGTTTTATATTTTATAATATTAAATATGTTACTTTTGTTTTTACTCTGGTCCGGGGCATAGTAGCATAGCATAGCAGAGGAGGGGAGGGGGTTATTAATAAATTTCTGTGTCACTTTCCTCTAAAATAGTGGGTAACTTCACTACTTTAGCAAATAGGTCTTTACGGTTACACCCTTTACCTAAATGGCTTGGACCTGCTTTACTGGAAGCTGAATAATCGAAATTTGCAAATGGGTCTTTTTCTTCAGGTACAAAGAAAAAAGAGTTATCCTCTTCAAATAAACTCTCTTCTTGAATCCTTTTTATAGCTTCTCTTACTTCTGAAGTAGTAGAAGATAAAGTTCTACCACTGAGACTATCTTCTCCAAATTCTTCTTCTTTCCCATCCTTCAAGAACGTAGCAAGAGTCTTAGAATTTAATTCATTTAAATCTTCTTCGGATCTTGGGAGATCTCGCCGTAGGAGAGAAGAGAAAGGATGTTCTAAATTAGAAGACTTAATAGAATTAGTAGGTTCCTCTATATTCCCTGCATTACTAGAAGAATTGGAAGATAAATTATTATTCTTTACTTCTTCATAGTTTTGAGGGTTTTCATTAGTTTGTGTATTATTTTTTCTTTTCTTTGTTAAATAATTAAAAATAATTTTTAAGCTAGACATAAATTTAGGCTTTAAAAAAGAGTTATAATTATCTGGTAGAGTAGGAGAACAACTAAAATCAAAAATATCCCAAAGTAAAAGGCTTGAACCTACAGGAGAGAAACAAAAGAATAAGAATTTAATTATAAATTTTATTAAAAAAATACCAACTTTGAAGTTTTTAATAGAAGGTTTTCTATTTTCAAATATTGAAGAGCAATATAAAAAAATAGCTTTTACTCTATATTTAAAGAATAGTTTACTATTACTATTACTATTACTATTACTATTACTTAATAAAACCGTGTTAAAAGTAACAACTATCAAATTTATTAAAACATTTATTACTAATTTTGTTATTTCAGAAGTAGATACTTGGTTATAAATTGAAAGTGGTTTAACTAGAAATTTGGTGTTTTTAGATAGAAAGACAATATTAAAAAATTTTAATGTTATTAAGATGATTTTCTTTATTATTTTTTTTATTTAATTATTTGTTATTAAAAAGAGCTAAAAGTTAAGATATTCTTTTAAAGTATATATTTTTAATTTTTAAATATAAAGTGTTAAAATAAGGGTTTTCATTTACAATTTCTGGAACGTAGTACTCACAAATAAAAATAAATAGCTATAAGAAATTTAAATTTTTTAATTTTAACACCCCTTTTTTACCCGTAAGGCTTAAATAAAATATGATGAGTGCTTATAAGTTATATCTGAATAGCAATAGAAAAAGGAAAAAGATTTCATTTGTTACCCTTAATTTTTGGTTTTATTAGCTTTTAAGTATAGTTATAAAACACAACCACTTTTTAGGTTTTCCATATTTTGAAAATAAATATTTCGATATCTAAAAATTTTTTTAACTCTATACAATTAAAAAGCCTAATTTTTGGCCGGCCCAGCCTTACCAAACGAGCAGCAGCGGCCTGCCCTTAGGTTTGTAAACTCGGGACCTACAGGAGCGGCCTGCCTGCCTTTAGGTTTGGCTCGGGACCTACAGGGACCTACAGCAGCTGCCTTTTTATACATCCATAGGTTTGGCTCGGGGCCTACAGGGAGCTACAGCAGCATAGCAGCATAGCAGCATAGCAGGATAGCAGCCTATAATGTTAGGACAAGGTACCGGAGGCAGTACGTAGGAGAAATAAAGATCATTTTAGATTAAATACCATTTTAGATTAAATTTTTTAAAAGAAAATAAAAAATAACAAATTAATATAATTTATTTTTCCATTAATAAAAAAAAATAATAATATATAACTAAAAAGTAAAGGGTTAAGTTTACAGATGGTTCTGTAGTAGACCTGCAAAGTCTTTCTTTTAGGGTTCAATTCCTTCTTAACTCTAAAAAAAAATATTTTTATTTTAAATTTAGAATTAATAAATATATCCAAACGTAAGCTATCATTCCATACTTAACTTCCCTATCCGTCCTTAAATAAGGTAGCATCAGCGGCCGGGCCAAGCCTATCCTGTAGGTCCCGACCCATACCTCTCCTGTAGCTCCCTTTAGGTCCCGACCAAAACCTAAGGGCAGGTGCTAACCCAAGGCAGGCCGCAGGCAGGGTCAGGAGAGTAGCATAGCAGAGGAGCGGCGGAGAGCAAAGGACCGGTGCTTAGCCTCGGCTCGGAGGTGGAAAGACCGCAGGCCTAGAATCCGCCCTTACAAACATATGGTTATAGTTAATACCTAAAAGAAGGTAATATCTAACCCAAAAATAAAACTAATTCTGTTCTATGTAATAAAAAAATTTAAAATTTTTAGTACAAACAATAATAAAATTTTTTCTTTATTAGTTTAAGTTCTCTTAGTTCAATGGTAGAACTGCATTCTTCTAAAATGTTAATTTTGGTTCGAATCCAGAAGAGAATATATGAATAGAGCTTTATTTACATTTCCTAATCCTCAAATTTTTATTTAATTTTTTTACTAAAACTCTCTTTTTACAGAGAAGGTTTCGAAGGACATAAAATAAAACCGATAACAGATAGGGTAAAGTCCTTTTCCTTTGATAAGGAAAAGTAGAAAACTATTATTCTATTAAAAGTAATAATCTATATAATAATAAAATAATAACAAAGAAAAGTAAATAATTCTTTTTTTATTGTTGTTTATACTTAAAAATTTCTTTTAGATATAAAAATTTATTTATTTATTTATTTTTAAATACAAATCCTTTAAGTATTACGGTCATTAGATCATTATAGAATTTAGAATATATCTTTTTTTAAATATAAAGTTTAAAATAAGGATAAGGACCTAGTATTAATAGGATATATAATATGGAAAGTAAAAATTAAATATTTAAAATTCTAATATTTTACTATTATAAAAAAAGGATACAAATAAAAAGAGTGTAGTATAAATGGTTAGTATGGCGATCTCCAAAATCACTGGTAGGTGTTCGAGTCACCTCACTCTTGATATTTTATTTCATAATTAGACAGACTAGAGTTAGTAGAAGATTTAGAATTATTACTTTTAAACTGTTATCTTTACTTAAACTCATTCTTTATGTCCCTTTCCAAGGAATAAAGAGATTTACGCAGGCAGGTGAAGGACACTTATAATAACAAAAATAACAGAAATAATAGTATATAAATATATAACAGAAATAACAATATATAAACAAAAATAATAGAAATAATAGTATATAAATATATAACAGAAATAACAATATATAAATATATAAGAGATAATAATATAAAAGAGAAATAAAATAAAATAGTATAGAAGATCTTATAATAAAAATAAAAATAAATAAATAAGGAAATAAATAAATAAATAAATAAATAAATAAAGGAAAGGAAATTATAAATAAATAAATAAAGGAAAGGAAATAATAAATAAATAATGGTTGGTAAATAAATAAAATATAAATAATGAAATGAATAAAAAGGATAATACCTTTTATTCAAATTTTATTTTAAAAGAAGTTTAGTAATAAAATAATAAAATAGAAATTATTTCTTTCCAAATTGCATTATTAAAAAGGTCTCTAAGTTAAGAATTTAAAAATCTCAATAACAACAAATATTTAAATAAAATAAAAATTCTATAACTCTTATCTTATCTTCTAATACCTTAATTTATTAGTTTAGAAATAATTTGTATTATAATTCTTTTAATACTTATATTTATCTCTGAGGCATAATATAATAAATAATAGGACAAATTTAATTATAGCTATACCTTTCCTTCCTTTTCAAAGGATAAGGACGCCTTTTTAAAAGGCAAAATATTTGTCAAAGTGTACTTTCTATTATTTAAAAAATAAAGAAAGAAAATTTAAATATTATAAAACTATTTATATTTATACCTATTTATGTATATAAATTTCTAAAAAAAGAACTGATTTTACTTTATTCTTAATTAACTCTTTATTAAAAAAATAAAAATTAAAAGTAAATATTATTTCATTTCTTACTTTATTTTTCTATATGTAAAATTCTAGTAAGTAAAAAACTAACAAAAGGAATAATATAAGTACACAATTTTAATTCTTATTTTCTTTAATATAACAGCCTAGTTTTTCTAATCATAATTTTCTCCTCTACTCTACCTTCTCTTCCTTTATAACAGATAAGAGGCCTTCAGTTCCGAAGGCAGGGCTAAAGTTAAATATACTTTTCTTCTATTTTTCGTAGAATAATTGAAAAGCTTAGATAATTATAAATTATACTTTTACTTTGATGTATATAAAAATGACACAATAAATTTAAGTAATTAAGATACATGATTATATATAAAACCTAAGGCCTTAACATATAAATTATAGGAATCTTTTATTCCTTGCTGTAAAATAAAAAATATTTTATAGTTTTTAATATATTTATATTAATTATATAAATATTAGTTATATTCCTATTATTTTTTATTGGGCCTACAAAACTGCGACTAGTCTCTCCTCCCCTTCTCTACGTCCTACCTTGCCTTCCTTATGTAAGGTAAAAGTAACAAAAGAGTAAAGGTTTTATGGTAAAGGTTCGTGGAAAAGTCTCAAGAATAAAATAAAAAAATAATTATGTCAATTATATAGGATAAAAATATTAATATTTATATAAAAATAAGTATGATTAAAAAACACACACAAATAAAAATGAATAATAATTTAACAATAACAATAATAAATATATTACTTAATTTAATAGATGTATTATGTATAGTTTTACCTGTGTTATTAAGTGTTGCTTTTATGACTATTATAGAAAGAAAACAATTAGCCGCCCACCAAAGAAGAGTAGGTCCCAATATTGTAGGATATTATGGTCTATTACAACCTTTTGCTGATGCTTTAAAATTAATACTTAAGGAGACAATAATACCTTCTCAATCTAATAAAGTTTTATTTTTTTTAGCACCAATATCTACTTTAATTTTTAGTTTATTAGGTTGGGGTATAATCCCTTTTGGTCAAGGTTTAGCTTTATCTGATTTTTCATTAGGAATTTTATATACTTTAGCTTTATCCTCTTTAGGAGTATATGGAGTATTATTAGCAGGTTGGTCAGCTAATTCTAAATATGCTTTTTTAGGATCCTTACGATCTACTGCCGCAATGATATCTTATGAATTAATTTTAAGTTCCGCAATCTTAATAATAATCTTATTAACAGGATCTTTAAATTATAATACTATAATAGAAATTCAACAATCTGTTTGGTTTATTATTCCATTATTACCAGTATTTATTTTTTATTTTATAGCTATTTTAGCTGAAACTTCTAGAACTCCTTTTGATCTTCAAGAAGCCGAATCTGAATTAGTAGCTGGTTTCTTTACAGAGCATTCAAGTGTTCCTTTTGTTTATTTTTTTTTAGGTGAATATTCCTCAATAGTATTATTTAGTTGTATTACTGCTATTTTATTTTTAGGTGGATATAATTTACCTGAAGTATTTGTAAATAATTCAATAATTAATCTTCAATCTATAATATTAGGTTTAAAAACATGTATTTTCTGTTTTTTCTTTGTATGGTTCCGAGCTACTTTACCTAGATTAAGATATGATCAATTAATAGAACTTTGTTGGTTAAATCTTTTACCTGTTTGTGTTGCTTTTATTATTTTAATTCCAAGTATTTTAGTGTCATTCGATTTAGTTCCTTTCTAAAAAGATCCTTAACTTCAGCCTAGCTCTTTACTTCTTTTGCCAGAGCCTTTTAGCCTAGAGCTAGAATCTACAACTAGCCTTCGACTCATACTGAATGAGAGAGGAAGGAAAATTTCTAAGGAAAAGCTAAAATGAAGATCCTAATTTAACCCCCCTACCTGACCTTTTACCGACCTTATCTAGGGTCGGAAGCAGTCTGCCTTTTTTATGTGGAAAGGTGCGGCCAAATCAAGAGGTGAGTAAGAGTGGTAGGGCTAAGGTTTGGGATAAGTAGTAAGGCATTTTATATTCCTATTCTTTTTACAAAATTAAAAAAAAAAATTTTATTTAAAAGAAGCTAAAAAGTAAAAATTAATTCAAATAATGATACTGATGACAAATAATCATTAATTATTAATTAATAAAATTTACTTACCTAAACTAAATATTAAAAATCTTTAGTAATACTGTCCTCCTTCGGGTACGAATTAGTATTTTTAGCTTTAATTTGTATTTTAAATTTTAATAATTAGTATCCCTTATTAAACACTATATCGAATAGACAATGGAACGTATGTATACCATTAGATATAACTGGAATTTAAAATATATTAAATGGAGTAAAGTAATCTATAGTAACAATTGAGAAAATTGTTCACTTCATTTAATCCCATTGACACCTTAAAATATAATAAAAATAAAATATATACAAAAATAAGAAACAACAATGAATAACTCAGAAAATAAAAATTTATATTTGACAAAAATATTACCTTTATTTGGAGATCCTATCTTAAAAAAAACAACAAAAGATAGAATGTTAAATAAATATAATATGGAAAATTTAAATGCTATACCAAATAGTAATTTAAATAAAAAAACTAATACTAAAATTATAAAATTAAGTAATGTATTAGGACTTTATTTAAAAGGCTTAAATATATATAATTTTCATTTAAATAATTATATAAATAATAATAATAATAAAGATTTAATTTTACATTTAAAAAACCAACAGAAACAAACAACAAATATCGAAAGTTTAAATAAAAAAAACTTCTCTATGGAAAAAGAAAATACATTTAATACAAAACTATCTACTTTATTAAAAGTTTTAAATAAATATCTTAATATTACGGATTCTGGTGCCAGCATTAATAATCTAGGACAGAAGAAATCAAATAAAAAAAGTTTAAACTTAGACCTTCGAACGTTACGAATCCTTCCTTCGGATTCTGCTTTCCTCGCAACTTCTTCAAATAAAACTAATTTATTTAAAAAAAATAGAAAAATACAGAAACTTCAAATTATTTCTAATTTCTCTAATTTGAATTCTGACTTACAAAGTAACAAACCTTTAAATTTAGGATTAAAATCTGAAAATAATAATAAAGAAAATTTTTCTTCTTTAGCTTTATCCCAAAAAATAATAATTAAGAATAGTATAGTTAATGCTAAAACGGATTTAATTAATGATTCTGAGAATCTGTTACAAAAATTAATTAATACTCGACTGTGGAAAAAATTAATTTCTCCTAGTCATATACTTTCTTTAGGTGCGAGCGAAGTAGGCGGAGATAATTCAGAGTTTGTATTCCAATTAGATGGAAAAAAAGGTGTAGATAAAATTAAATTACTTAATTCTTTATTACATCCTTCCTCTACAAAAATTTCTAAATTTGCATCCAAAAGTTATATAAAAAAATTAATACTAAAGGGTTTATCCTTAGGAATCATCTCAAGAACAGATCTCTCTAATACAAAAAATCTCAAAATCAAAGGATTAAATTTATTAGAAATAATTTTAAGTAGTATAATTGCAATTAAAATTTTAAATTCTAAAATTAGTTTAAAAAGAAAAAAAATTAGATTACTAAAATATATTAATTTAGCCTCTGAACTTTCAAGATCTAATAGTAATAATAAAAATATTAATAATATTTCATTCTCTTATTTAAATAATAATCAAAATAATTTGTCTAATTCTTCAAATAAAAATAATTTTTTAATACCAATTCAAAATAAAAATATCCCTGTAGTTTATAATAATAAATTAGCTCCTATAATTAATCAATATATTAAATCAATGACTATTTTTAATATGAAAAATAAAGGTTCTATTTTCTCTTATTCAAGTATAATTGGTTTTAATTTTTTAAGTAAAAATAATAAATTAATTAAAAATGTTTATAAATTTTTATCTACTTCTTTTTATTCTATGTATTGTTTAATTAGTAAACCTGTTTTTGTTATTACTCCTGATAAAATTATTATTCAATTGTTTTATTATTTATTTATTCCTAATTTATTTAAATATAAAATTAGAAATAGAAAAAAATTCTTTAATAGACTTTTAAAAAGTAAAAGAGCTAAATCGAATAGAAATTTTGTTAATAATCAAAATAAATTTAGATTCTCTAATAAATTCAAATATAAAAAAATTAAAAAAGCACAAAGAAAAATATTTAGAAAACTATCTAATATTAGTTTAATTAATTTATATCCCAATAAATTTAAAAAAATTTGTTTAATTTTAAGTCGTTTCTTTAAAAAACCTGTAGAATTAGATTTAATTAGATTACATTATCCTTATAATGATAGTAATATTTTAGTTAATCTATTAGGAATTATGATTAATAAAATTAAAATTAGAATTATTATTAGAAAACTATTTAGAAAAGCTATTATTAAAAACCCTAATAAATTAGAAAATAAAAATTTAACTATTTTACCTTCTTTCTTATCAGGAATGAATATTAGAATTGCTGGTAGATTATTAACTCAAAAAGTAGTACCTAGAATGACAGTTAAAACAATTAGAAGAGGAGTATTAGCTAAAAGTAAAGTTAACTTCTCTGATGTTGCTAGATTAACTAAAAAAAATAAAAGAGGTGCCTTTAGTATTACAATCTCTTCAGGACAAAATTTTAAATAGCTTTAATAGTTAGTATTTAATATTATCCTAATTTTTAGTGAAAACAAAACTTAAAAAAAAACAAATAAACAAAAAATTTTTCTAGTGAGATAAATAAAAATTTGTTTATTAAACCCCCTCCCTCCTATGCTCCTATGCTCCTATGCTCCTATGCTGCTATGCGGTTATGCTCCTGAGGCTCAGGCCTTTTGCTTCTACCTGCTTTACCTGCATGCCTTTACCTTGGCTCGCTTGGTTCGGCTGGGAAAGTTAGGTACCGAGATCTTATAGGAAGAAATCTTAAAACCCTGATGTCAATAAATTAGGTTGGGTTTTTCGCTGTATCCCGCATCCTCTCCTCTGCTATGCTGCTATGCTGCTATGCTGCTATGCTGCTATGCTGCTATGCTGCTATGCTGCTATGCTGCTATGCTGCTATGCTGCTATGCTGCTATGCTGCGGGATACACCACCCTTTTTATACATCCTGCTGTATGAAGGTTTGGCTCGGCAGGCTGCTTCTCGTTCACACAGGAGCATAGCCGCAGGATGGATCCTTTTAAACTTTTGTTCTTTAGAGATATCGAAATTTTGGAATAATTATAAGGGTTTATTTGTTTTTTTATTTTTTTTAGTTTAATAAAAGGATAAAAGTCAAAGTTAAAGAATAAAATTTATTTTAAAAGAAGTTTAGTTATACAAATAAAAGAAATAATTCATTTATTTGCTTTTTAATAAATTAAATTCTAAGATCCTATTTAAAGCCTATAATTTAACGGTAGAATAATTTCTTGATGAGGAATCTGTAGAAGTTCAAATCTTCTTGGGCTTAAATAAAAAACAAATATTGTTCTAGTGTCTATTTTTTATTTAAATTATAAAATAAAAAGTAAAGTTAACTTAAGAAATTATAGTTAGCTAAATAAAATTATTGTTATAATAAATAAAATTATTGTTATAATAATTTAAATTCTTAAGTAAAGTTTTAAGATAGAAATTACACTTTAATTTAATTTTGATTTTATATCAAAATATTAATTATTTCCTTCCTTCCTGCTAGAGAAGCTTGTAAGCTACTAACCACATTCTACGGTCTACTGTGGTCTCCTAATATTTCTCTAGTAGGGCTCGGCTAGGGAGGCCTTATTTATTCAAAACAAATAAATAACAAATAATTATTTAACTTTAAAAATTAAATAATTAAAAAAATAAAAAAATAATTAAAAAAGAAATAACAATGAGAATATTAAAAACTCACGTATTGCTTAGATTTGTAAATTCTTACATAGTAGATTCTCCTCAACCTGCTAATATATCATATTTAAGGAACTTTGGTTCTTTATTAGCACTTTGTTTAGGGATACAAATAGTAACAGGAGCCTTTTTAGCTATGCATTATCAACCTAATGTAGATTTAGCTTTTAATTCCGTAGAACATATTATGAGAGATGTAAATAATGGATGGATAGTTAGATATACACATGCTAATGTAGCTTCTTTTTTTCTTTATCTTTGTTATTCTCATGTAGCTAGAGGATTATATTACGGTTCATACAAATCACCAAGAGTATTAGTATGGTCAATAGGAGTTATTATTTTAATCTTAATGATTGCTATTGCTTTCTTAGGTTATGTGTTACCTTATGGACAAATGTCATTATGGGGTGCTACAGTTATTACAAATCTTTTATCTGCTATACCTGTATTTGGTCAAGATATAGTAGAATTAATTTGGGGTGGTTTCAGTGTAAGTAATGCTACATTAAATAGATTCTTTTCTTTACATTATTTATTACCCTTTTTATTAGCTGCTTTAGCTATAGCCCATATGATTGCCCTTCATACAGAAGGGTCAAATAATCCTAATGGAGTAACATCAAATGGAGATAGATATGCAATGCATCCTTATTTTATCTTTAAAGATTTAGTAACTTTCTTTGCATTCTTTTTAGTATTATCTATTATTGTGTTCTATTATCCTAATTTATTAGGTCATAGTGATAATTATATTCCTGCTGATCCAATGGTTACTCCTGCTTCTATTGTGCCTGAGTGGTATCTATTACCATTCTATGCTATTTTAAGATCAATACCTAATAAACTTTTAGGGGTAGTTGCTATGTTTGGTTCTTTAGTTATATTCTTAATTTTACCTTTAGTGGATGTTTCTAGAATAAGAGGAAACCAATTTAGACCTGCAATGAAATTAGCTTTCTGGTTCTTTGTTGTAGACTTTTTCATCTTAATGTGGATTGGTTCTCAACATCCTAATTCTCCTTATGTTGAAATAGGACAAATAGCAACTGCATTCTATTTCTCTTGGTTTTTAGTAATTATCCCAGTAATAGGAATTATAGAAAATAGTCTATTCGATTTAACCTTATCAGAAGGAGCTATCTTGACAGATGAAGCCGAAAACAATAAATAATTTTTTGTCCTAAAATTCCTGTATATAATATTAGAAAATTTTGGAAAATAAAAAATTTTAACCCCCCCCCCCACTACTCTTGGGATCATAGCAACCGAGCCGAGGCTTAGCACCGAAGTGCTGCCTTAGGTTTGGCTCGGTGTATCCGCAGGAGCATAGCAGAGGATGCAGCGTATAGTATAGCGAGATTTGATTCTAGTGATATGACAGTCCATTATTTTTATTCTTACGAGCTCCGGCTCCTCTTATTAAAGACAAAAAAGCCTAATCTGACATAAAGGAATTAATTCCTCTCCTCCTTCTTTTTCTAGCCTACGGCTGCTCTGCCTCGGAGGAGTCAGCTCATTTAGGTAGGCTACGTACCCTTTCTTTCCAAAGGATAAGGAGGAGGGTGGTAAATTGGTAAAAAAAGAAACAATATTTCTTAAAAAAATAAAATTGTATTAAATTTCTCTTTTTTTTTTTATTAGAGTAAAAAATTAAATTATTTTAAAACTAAAAAATATCCGAGAAAAATTTAAGCTTATTATGAGGTTCCTCCTTCCTAACATCACCTTGCCTGAATGTTATAGAGCTGAGGATGTTATATCCTTATGGTACCTTCCGGTAAGGATCTTATTCTAGGAAATATTGTTTATCTATTAAAGGTTCAAATCCTTTATTCCTTAGATTATATTACAAATAAATAATTTTTCTTATCTATTTTTATAGATAATTTTATTTTTAGTAATATAAGAATTTAAAAACTTAGATTAATCTTAAGATATTAGTTATTTTTTAATTATTATTTATTTTTAGAAACTGAACTTTTTATTCTCAAAAGAATTATATTTATTACACATTCCTTCTCTTTATTTTTTAAGTTAATGTAATGTAGTTAATATTTTAAATAAGTATAAGAAAATATGTACAAATAAAAGAATATCTAATATTCAGCTCTATCACTCCACCTATCTCTTAACTTTAAGGATGGGGAGATGGTCAAAGAGATGTTTATTTTAACTCCTTAATTTCACCAACTCTTTCTGAGCCTCCTTACCTAAGGTAAGAATGTTTGGTAAAGGTCGAACACAAGATGACTAGGATAGAATCTGTCCTACTTTAAAGGTAAGTTTAAGGTCCTGCAAAATATACCTTTGACCAAAGAAGAGGAAAAATTAAATTAAGATCGACTATCCTAAAAAATAACAAATGTTACAATTTCTTTCTCTTTTTAATACAATCTTTAATGATGCGCCTCAACCTTGGCAATTAGGTTTTCAAGATAGTGCTGCTCCAGGATTTACAGGTATTGTTACATTACATAATACAATTGGATTCTATTTAATTGTAATATGTTTCTCAGTTTTCTGGGCTTTATTTTCAATAATTTATTATTATAATACTAACAAAAATCCAATAGCTCATAAATATTTAACACATGGTACTGTAGTTGAATTAGTTTGGACTATTACACCTGCTTTAATTTTAATTGCTATTGCTTTCCCTTCTTTCAGATTACTTTATTTAATGGATGAAGTAATTTCTCCTACATTAACAATTAAAGCTGTAGGTCATCAATGGTATTGGTCTTATGAATTATCTGATTTGTAACAGATAGTGGGATGCTATAGATTTGATAGTTATATGTTACCTGAATCTGATTTAGAATTAGGTCAATTTAGATTATTAGATGTAGATAATAAATTAATAGTACCAGTTGATTGCCATATTAGATTAATTGTTACAGGGGCAGATGTAATTCATTCTTATGCTGTTCCTTCTCTAGGTTTAAAATTAGATGCTGTTCCTGGTAGATTAAATCAAGTTTCTTTCTTAGTAGAAAGAACAGGAACATTCTATGGACAATGTTCAGAAATCTGTGGAGTTTGGCATGGGTTTATGCCTATAGCTATTGAAGCTGTATCAACACCACAATTTCTTATTATGGGTAGATAGTGCTTCATAATTTAAATTTAAAAAATATTAAATTTCTAAAAATAATCTATTTCTTAATTAAATTTTAAGTAGCATATTCATCTTAAAAAAATAGCTTTATATTCTATAATAATGAAACCTTTCCTGTCTACGGAACCTTCGCTGCCGGATGAGCCATCTTCTGACACACTACCCCTTTTAGGGGAAGACTGAGGAGAGTAGGTAAGGTACGGAACCGTACGGATGTAAAGTAGGAGAATTAAAGATTGTAGGTCCCGTACGTGATCAAGATGTATATGTATACATATAAAATTTAAACTTTAAATATTTTCTTAAAAAAAGAAATTAAACCCCCTATACTATCCTCTCCTCCGGCTGCTATGCTGCTATGCTGCTATGCTCCTATGCTGCTATGCTCCTATGCTGCTCCGCTATGTTGCTGAATCTGCAGTGAAGTGTTTTTGACTAAACTTTTAACTTAAAAAGTATAACAAAATTATTTCTAAAGATAAAAAAGTTAAAATAAAATATAAAATTTAAATACTTTTTTTAAACCTCTAAATAATTAAGAGATAGTCTTTATGGAACTAAAAATCTCTTCTTATTTATACCAATTAAAAAAACAAAAATGAAAGAGCTGAATTATTTAAAAGAGTTATTGGCGCATTATGGGGTTTATCTGAATATATATTTCTCTAGTTCTCCTGTTATTTTATTTGCTTTAAGTATTTTAATTTTATCTTTTTTTTTTTGCTATGTGGTGTTTTATTACTATTGTATTATATTTAGGTTTTTTATATTTAATGGAAAATAAAGTATTATTAGAAAAAGCTTCTAAATATAATATTATTGTTAAAATTTTAAATGTTTATAAAAAAACTAGATTATTTTATTTGGTAATTGAAATAGCGCTATTTTTATTTAGTTTAGGGAGTATAATTCTGTTAAGTGGTAGAATTGTGTTTGGCTTAATATCTTTTGGTATTTAATGAATACGTTTGGAGAAAAAAATGTTTATTAATATTTTTTTATAATGTGAAAGTTTTAAGAGATAGTCTTTAGTTAAAAAATCTCTTCTAATATTAAAAAAAACAAGCGACAAAATGACAAACAACTTAAAAATAATTCCTAATTTTCCTAAAAATTTTTATTCACTAGAAGCTTTTAAACCTTTAGGTAAATTTTTGGATAAAAATTTAAATGAATTAATTAATACAGGTTTAGATATTATATCTCCTCTTTATGACTTATATCTAAATTATCCTACAGAGTTAACTAGTTTAGCTTCTTTTATTCCTGCTATCTTTATTTATAAAAGTATAGTAAATTTATATTCAAATATAGCTTTTAAACACACACCTACAAACTTCTCACCGATAGATCTTCATCCATTTACACAGATGAAAAGTAAAGAAGTAAAACTTTTTATGAATTTAGGTACTCCTTTCCTTCTGTGGATCGTAGGTATTTTATATGCAATAAGAAATATACTTTTTCAATACAAAATTACTTTAACAATAGATAACTCTATTGTATCTGATAATTTCACTTCAAATACAAATAATGAAGATAATTTAAATAGTGGTTTTGGAATAATTGCTTTTTTAAAAAATAAAAAACCTTTTTGAATAAAAGAAATTATAGTAATAGGGATAAGTTTATACTTTTTAAACTATTTATATAAAAATTTAGAATCTAATGAAAATAATATTTTAAGTTCTTATTTTTTAAATTATATTATTTATGTAAAAATATTTTTTATTTTTGGTTTGATTTCTAGTTTATTTATGATTCTTTATTACATTTGTACAATATATTTGTTTATAATGTTTTCAAAAAAAAAAATAAGTAAACCTATTTATTTACCTGAATTTATTTTAAATTGAATAGATGAAATTCACAAAATGAGTTTTATTAAAAATAAAGGATTTTTCATAGAATTTTATTTTAGATTAATAATGGTTTATCTTTTTATCTTCGTTCTGACTTTTTATACATTAATCTGTTTATTTAATATACAATAATTTAATTTAAAATTTTATACTTATTAAAAAGGAAAACTACTATTTAATGTTATCTTTACTTTACCCTGTATTATTTTTTTATGGATATTTTTCTTTCCCTCCACCTTTTGTTGCCTTTTGTAGACTTAAAGTTTAACATTTTTTCAAGCTAGACTTGGTTTCTAAAGAAAATTTATTTTATAATTCTGTATACCATGCCCAGGTCTTCGAATCCAGAAATCCCTGCTTGCCTTAGCTTGGTCCTCTCCTCTCATCTCCTCTCCTCTGCTATGCTGCTATGCTGCTATGCCCTTCTCCGCCTCTCCTCCTCCGGTCCTCCGGCTCCGGCTGGTGCTAACCGCCTCCGGACCGGCTGCTATGCTGCTATGCTCCTATGCTGCTATGCTGCTATGCTGATGCTAAGCCTCGGTGCTACGCTGCTAGGTGCTACCCTGACTATGCTCCCGGAGAGGAAGGATGTGGTAGGAAAGAAGATTGAAAAATTAGAATAAAATAATTATAAATTTTCAATGTTATCCCTTTAACTAATAATTTATCTTAATTTGGTTTTCTATTAAGAGGTTAAAAATGACACAATAAATAACAGTACAAAAGATTACGTAGCTTTAATAAGGTTTATATCAAAAAGATGAGAATATTTTAAACATAAAGTAAGAAAATTATTTATAGCTATTTTAATATTTATTTTAAAAGAGTAGTAGTTTTCTATAAAACACTAATTCTAGCAATCAATCGTAAACGTATAAATGTTTACTTAGAAACTTTCTGTCTTTGATACTTAATTTATTCTCTAAATCCAAAATGTTAATTTATTTATATAATAATTAAATTTTAGTAAATTATCTAAAAATATAAATATTAAAAAAGAAAAAATATTAAAAACAAAAAGAAAACTAACCCTTGATATCAACAAAAATCAATGACAAAAAATTATATAAAAATGAATAATAAAATCAAATTTCAATACTTTCCTTATCATTTAGTAGATCCTTCACCTTGGCCAATTTTATTAAGTTTTTCATTATTAACTTTCACAACAGGTGCTGTATTATATATGCATGGTTTTAATAATGGTGGTCTTGTTTTAACTTTAGGATTTCTATTAACAAGTTCTGGAATGGCTCTATGGTTCAGAGATGTTATAAGTGAAGCAACTTTATTAGGTTGCCATACAAGAGAAGTAAAAAACGGTTTAATGCTTGGAGTTTTCCTTTTCATTGTTAGTGAAGTATTTGCTTTCTTATCTGTATTTTGGGCTTTCTTCCATTCAAGTTTATCTCCTGCTATTGAAATAGGAGGATCTTGGCCTCCATTAGGAATAACTCCATTAGATCCTTTTGCAATTCCTTTATTAAATACCATCTTATTACTTTCTTCTGGTGCATTTATTACTTATGGACACCATGCTTTAATAGCTGGAAATAGAAAAGCAGCAATAGATGGAACATTATTAACAATAATATTTGCAATACTATTTACAGGATTACAATATTATGAATATTCAGAAGCAGGTTTCACAATGGCAGATGGTGTATATGGTTCAGCCTTTTATGCTTCTACAGGATTACATGGTTTACATGTTATAGTAGGAACAATTTTTATTTTAGTAGGTTTTGTTAGAATTGTAAATTATCATTTAACTAAATCACATCACCAAGGATTTGAAGCTGCTATAGCTTACTGGCATTTTGTAGATGTTGTGTGGTTATTCTTATTCTTAGCTGTGTATTTCTGGGGTGGTGCTTAGTTTTTAGTATCCTTATTACACAATTATTTTTAATTTAAAGTTATAAATTAAAAATAATTTATAAAATATTTCTTTATACTCAAATAAAAATATAAATATAAATTTTTATATAAATATAAATATAAATATAAATATAAATATAAATATAAATATAAATATAAATATAAATATAAATATAAATATAAATATAAATATAAATATAAATATAAATATAATAAAAAATATAATTATGATTATAAATATTATAAAAATTTCTAACCCCCCTTTATTAAAAAAAATAAGTTTAAACCTTTTTGTTTTAAATTACTCTTATCTTAGAGTCTTAAATTTTATAAATTTCCTCTTACCTTAGAGTCTTAAAAGATCTATATAAGAGTAAAATAAAAAAAAAATATCAGAAAAAGAATATAACAAAAATATAAAAAATTTCTAAAGATCTTTAAAAACAAACTATAGATTAACTGAAATTAATATATTCTTATTTTTTTAGGCCAAATTAAATTTCATTTATTACCCGTTTCTATAAAGAATTTAACAAATACATAACTATGAATCTTTCATTATTTTTATTTTTAATTGGTATCTTAGGGTTTATATTAAATAGAAAAAATATAATTCTAATGATAATAGCCATAGAAATAATGTTACTAGCAGTAACTTTATTAGTATTAATATCATCTTATAGTTTTGATGATAATGTAGGACAAACCTTTAGTATATATATTATTTCTATTGCAGGAGCAGAATCTGTTATAGGTTTAAGTATTCTTGTTGCTTATTATAGATTAAGAGGAACTATTTCTTTAAGAACATAATGTATCTTTCAATTATTATTTTACCTTTATTAGGTTCTATTGTTTCAGGTTTTATGGGTAGAAAAGTAGGTGTTACAGGGTCTCTTTTTATAACATGTACTTGTTTAATTTTATCTTCAGTATTAATGACTGTTGCTTTCTATGAAGTAGGTCTTTGCGGTTCTCCTGTTTCTATTAATTTAGGAAGTTGGATTGATTCAGAAATAATGTCTATTTCTTGGGAATTTTATTATGATCAATTAACAGTATCTTTAGGTTTAGCTGTTTTATATTGTTCCAGTTTAATTCATATCTATAGTATTTCTTATATGTCTGAAGATCCTCATGTTCAAAGATTTATGTCTTATTTATCTGCTTTCACCGCAGGTATGTTAGTTTTAATAAGTGGAGGTAATTATTTCGTAATGTTTATAGGTTGGGAAACTATCGGTGTAGTCTCTTATTTATTAATAAATTTCTATTTTACTAGAATTCAAGCAAATAAAGCTTCTATTTTAGCTTTAACTATGAATAGAGTAGGTGATATGGGATTAAGTATAGGATTCTTTGCTATTTTTTCATTATTTGGTTCTTTAAATTATTCCACAATCTTTAGTTTATCTCCTTATATGAATGAAACAGCAATAACAATTATATCTTTATTATTATTTATGGGTGCTATGGCGAAATCGGCTAATATACCATTTCATTCTTGGTTACCTGGTTCAATGGAAGCTCCTACACCAGTAAGTGCTTTACTTCATGCAGCTACTCTAGTAACAGCAGGTATCTATTTATTATTAAGATCTTCCCCTATATTAGAATATAGTTCTACTGCCTTATTAGTAATAACTTTAATAGGAGCAACTACAGCCTTTTTTGCTGCTACAAGTGGTTTAGTGCAAAATGATTTAAAAAGAATAATAGCTTTCAGTACTATAAGTCAATTAGGATATATGGTAATGGCAGTAGGATTAAGTCAGTATAATGTGGCTTTAATGCATACTGTAAATCATGCTTTCTTTAAAGCATTATTATTCTTAGGAGCAGGTGCTGTAATTCATTCTTTTGCAGATCAACAAGATATAAGAAAAATGGGTGGTTTAATAAAATTTTTACCATTTACTTATTCTGTAATGTTAGTAGGATCTCTTAGTTTATTAGCTACTCCATTCCTTACAGGTTTCTATAGTAAAGATTTAATCTTAGAATTAGCTTTTGGTCAATACACTTTTAGTGGCTTTTATGCTTATATTTTAGGAACAATAACTGCAGGTATAACAGCCTTTTATAGTTTTAGATTAATAAGTTTAGTATTCTTAACTGTACCAAATGGACCTAAATTTAATTATTTACATTCTCATGAATCAAATTTAGCTATTATTATTCCATTAGTTATTTTAGCTTTATTTAGTATTTTATTTGGATTTGTATTCTCTGATTTATTTGTAGGGGTAGGTTCTGATTTCTTTGGAAATTCTTTATTTATTCATCCTAATAATATTTCTATTATTGAAGCAGAATTCTCTTTAAATCTTATTATTAAATTATTACCAGTTATTTTAAGTTTAATTGGTTCAGTTTTAGCTATATATCTATATCATAATAATCCTGAATTTATTAATCAATTAACTGATAATTCTATAAGTAAAAAAATTTATGGTTTCTTAAATGGAAAATATTATTTTGATGTAATTTATAATCATTATTTTATTTCTAAAGGATTATTATTAGGTTATACAATATCTAAAGAATTGTGGGGCTTTGTCTTAGGACCTTATGGTTTATCTACTGCCTTTACTAATACAGGTAAGAATATTGCTAAATTAGATACTGGAATAGTAACAACTTATGCTCTTTATATCACATTAGGATTATTATCTTTATTATTTGTAGTTTTCGCTCCTATTTTAATTGATGTTTCAATGTTAAGTGAATTTAGATTAGTTATTATTTATCTGGCTTCTATTATATTAGTTTTATCTTTTCCTTCTTTAAATAATAAAAATTAATAAAAATTAATAAAAATTAATAAAAATTAATAAAAATTAATAAAAATTAATAAAAATTAATAAAAATTAATAAAAATTAATAATTTCTTCTTTCCGTAGGCCAGAGTATTTTCTTAATCTTTCATTAATATAAAAAAATATATTAACTAGTACATTAAATAGTAAATTATATAAAAAAAATAATTTTCTTTTGCTAATATTTTTTATTTGGCTTAGTTGCCTTACTACGTACCCTCCGATGCTGGAGGAGCCTACCACTGAACCCTTACTTAAAGGATCCGAAAAATTAAAATGGTAGAAAAGTAGGAAAGGTAAAGTAATTAACTAGACAGGACTTATAAAAAGTATAGTATTAAAAAAAGATATTTATTAAACCCCCTTCACCTTCTTAGACAATTGACTCTCACACCCAAAAAGGTATGGTGTTAACTACTCTTTCCTCTTAAAAAAATAAATCTATTCTCTGATTTATTTAAAAATACTAACAAATCTATATAAAAAGGTGATATTACTTAAGAGAAATAATATCATTAAATTAAAAATTTTTCTTTCTCTAAAAAAACAAAACCAAAAACCCAAAATGAACAAAAACTTTTATTTATTTGCAAACTTTGCTAGAAGTTTTGATAAGTTTCACATTAACAATAATACTAATCATTTAGTTTCTAGTTTTTTTTATACTGAAGATTTAAAAGCAGACAACCTTAAAAATTTAACTTTAGACAAAGATAAAATATTGAATGTTATATATATAGATAACTTAGATACCCCATTTCATTTACCTTTAGGTGGTTAGGTCTACCACATTCCCTATATTTTAAGATCTTTATTTATCTAGAGGAGAAAAGATAGAAAATTGGTAGATTGGGAAGCTCATAAATAAGGCATAGGGTCAGATTACAAATTTCTGAGTCTCTAGATAGCTCTTCTTATATTTTTTCTATTAGTAAGGATAGGAATGTATTAATTTGTAAGGAAAAAGAACTATTTTCATTTAAATATTCCTTTATATATCGAAGGTCAAATTTTATTTGTAAAAGAAATAAAAAAATTTAATAACTTCTAACAAAAACACATGGATAAAGTATATTTTTTTATAATAATCTTTCTTAAAGTTCTGTTTAATTATTAAAAGAGTTAGTAAAATTTAAAGCGGCGAGTATAGTTAAGTTGGTATAGCCTCTACCTTCCAAGTAGATATCATCAGTTCGAATCTGATTACTCGTAATAAAATAATATTATCTTTAAATAATTTTATTTTATAATTAAATTTATTATTATTTTTTAAATAAGTACAAAATAATATTATTTTAAAAAATTTTAAATCTAATATACACAAGTATTTAATTTACATAGGCCATAAGGTCTAATTAACTTAAATTTATGTACATAAACAAAACATTTTAATTTAGTTTTTAATTTAAGTTACCCTTTATGTCTCATTTATAAAATAATATAGTATAATATTTACTTATTATTTTGCTATAAAAAGCAGAGATAGTTCTTTTATTTTAGAACATTAAATTTTAAATAATTAAATAATGCCACAATTAATACCATTTTTCTTTTTAAATCAATTATCATTTTCATTTATTATTTTATTAGCATTAGTTTATATCTTTTCTAAATATATTTTACCATTATACACATTCCAACGAGTAATTAGAATGTATATTACTAAATTAAGTAATAAAAACTAGATTATTTAGAAAATAAATAATTAACCCCCCCTCTAATACTTTTGGATTTTTAACATATTATTAATTAGTAAGTTTTTTTTAAGATTACCGTATAAAGAAAAGTATTTCTCTTTTTTATTATAGTATGTAAAGAAAAGTATTTCTCTTTTTTATTATAGTATGTATAGTTCAAGAATTTAAATTATTTCAAAGTTATTATAAAGGTAAAGGTTAAACTACCTTACTACTGTTTATTTCCTAAAAGGACCTTAATTCTGACCTACGAGCCTAGTCGACCAAAAAAATAAATTTTAATTAGTGAATTTTGTCAAATTTATCCTCCTCATTATTTTAATACTATTTCTATTTTAAAGAAAATAAAAATGTTATATATAAAAAAGATAAAAAAATTCTAAACAAATCAAGATGGTGATGTAACTTTCCTCAAATGGAGGTAAAATTACAATAAAGGTTCAACTCCTTTATGATTTCTTTGCTCTCTTTCCAACGGTAAAATGTTTGATTCTATAACAAACCGTGACGCTCTTCCAGGTTTATGAAGACGGATTAACAAAAATGTCATAGTTTAAAAGAAAAAGTTTTGTCACAAAAAAAAGTTGACAAAATCTCAAATTGAATATGTGTAATATTCAATTTCAAAAACCTAAAATTTTTTGAACCCTAATTTTATTTTCCCTTATTAGCTTACTATCAGACGCCCCTTTAAAGTGAGAATAATGTTACTATTTACTATCATCTTAGTTTTAGCACTCTTAATTAACTACGCTGCTACCAATAAATTGCTAGGTCTTAAACTACATCATTTTTGTAAAAGTGATACTTTAACAGATAAGGTTGTAACCTTCATCCTTATTTTATCTGTTTTATTTTTCTTTACAGATTTTTTAAGAATAATACTAGATTATTTTTTAGCTGCGGGAGCCAAATTTGCATTTGTAAATGGTGAAAACAATAATATACAACCTATTGCTCGAGATCCAGTAAGAGTTTTTCCAACACCTCTACCTCAAGTGTGGGGGATTGTTGGGACCGGTGCAGCTGTTCACAGAATTGTACCTGGAAATTCCCGAATAAAAGCTTTATCTGCATTCACGTAGTTTAGGAGTTTCAATCCCGATTACAATTTATAGTATGGCTATTGAATTCCAAACGGGTTAACAAGCGTGTTGAGAGCTATATCTGACTTTAAAGCTAATAACAAATGGCCTACCGAGACAAACGGTGGTAAATTTTTAACTAGTGAAGAAATAAGTAAACAGCTTTCAGGCGAAAATGTATCAAAGTTCATAGATAGTTCCATTTTTGATAGTTTCAGCTTAGAAATGCTTATGGAGAAATACATCCAACTAGTTTTCACAGTGTTTAAACCTGCATCCTTTGAAGGTTACTTAGATGATCTTTTAGGACAACAATTACTTATACACCTATTATTACTAATGTCTATTTTAGGTGTGCTTATCTTCCTCTCTATTTTTAATTTTTTATCAATTTTAATAGTAAAAGGAATATTTACTATCTAAATTTAATAATAAATACTTGCAATTCTACATCAAATACCAGTATTTCTTGCTAAAATTTAGCTTAATCTGGATGCCTGTTGTAATTTTTATAGGGTTAGTTCAAATATTGGTGATGACAATATTTTTAATAACTCATACCATTCCAATAGAGGCATTTCCCGTAGATCCTCACATGTATATCCTATCAAAACCTGTTAAAGATTAATAATCTTAACCATCTATAAAGATTTAAAATCTGTAACTTTAACCCCTTTTCCTTAATTACAACCAAAAATATCAAATTTAATTCCATTTATTACCCGTTTCTAGAATTTTACAAACAAAACAAAAATGAGATATATAGTAACAAAATACTTAGCTTCTTAAAAGATAACCTAAATAGGTAAAGTTTAATTTTATATTTACATTAATAATTATAACCTTAATTTATAATATTGTTACTTGAGATATTAATCCTTTAACTGTAATTAAAAAAGTACGAGTATTTTTATGTACAGAAATAGTATAAATTTTTAATACTCCCTACTTTCTCCTTTATTTTTTATATACTTAAATAGATTTATATTAGCTAACAAAATTTTCTATTAAAATTAAGAGTTTGTAATAAATAAATACTTACCTTCTGTTGTAAAAAAAAAACATGACTTTTTTAATTTAAATAAAATGAGTCAAAGTATAAATCTGGAATCTTTTATACTTCTTAGTTTTCAACTAATCATTTCTCTTTTTATTTTTTTTAATAACATTACTTATTTGTTTGTATATTTAAAATATATCACACCCATTTAGTCCGAACGTAAAAACTTATTTAAAAAGAGATAATTTAAATATTTTATTATTAAAAAATTTTTTTAATTAATTCTCTAAAAAATATATTTTAATAGTAATGAGAGACTTACTATTTATCTAAACTATTCTATTATCAATGAAAGAAATTTAAATTTTTAATATATAAGTACTTTAAAGATTTAAATATAAAAGGAAAACTGAAAAAAGGATTTATTTTATTTTATAAAAATTGGACAGAGTCCTAGAGACTAGAAATTCAGTTATTCACTGTTAAATTATTTTATTATTCTTTATTTAAATTTGGGACTTAAATAATAATTATTCTATTAAAAGAAAGCTACTCTATTTTTTTATACAACAATTTAAAGTCAAATCTAGTATACATTATATCAAAATATATTCTTTTGAGAATTAATCATAAGGAGTTTATTTGTTCTTAGTGAAATAAATTAGGATACTAGAGTCCGGAGCTTCAGAATATTATTTAACTAGAATCAATAGTATTCACAGATAAGTTTATTTGATTATATTTTTGTACATCTAATATAAAAAGTAAGCTAATAAGAAATATAACCTTAAATACCTCTGTATAGAACCAATACCAGTATACTCTATAATAGACTTATAACTATAAATAGAAGTATAACATATAAAGAAAAATAGTAATGATTCGGGATAGGGGGAGGAAATGTAAGGTAAAGAGAGTGGCGGGAGGTATAGGGGATCAAAGAAAGTAAGGATTAGGGAGAACTAATTTAATTTAGTTATATTCTTTAAACTTAATAGATTCAATAGTATTACCAGACCAAGGGATTATACTTTATAATTCTAGAAAGCTATATATATCTAATTTATACTTCTCTATCCCTAATTCCTCTATCTCTCTATACTATACTATACTATAATTTACTATACTATAATTTACTATACTATAATTTACTATACTATAATTTACTAATATAATATAACTAATTTTCATATAAAATATAAATATAAGTATAAATATAAGTATAAATAAAATATTTAATTTAACTTTTACTTATACATTTCTGTTATTTTCTGATATTCTTATAATATTATCTTTTTATAATATTAAGTTTATTTATTATTTCATTTTATAAAAAATTTAATAAAATAAATTCTATAAAATAAAGTTTATAATTTAATTTATTAAAATAAATTTTATTCTCTTGGAGAAAGATAGATTCGAACTATCATATTTGTAATGCAATACAACTGATTACCATTATCAGATTCCCCCTTCCTTTTAAATTTAAATAACCCAAATAAATACTCTATTTAATATGGTAGGCGCGACTCGAACACGCTATATGTCTCCCACCCAAAGGGAGCGACGAACCAGTTTGTCATCTACCATTAAACTCTTTAAAGGTGAAATTCTTTATAAATCTTTAAATACTTTATTATTCTTTAAATCAATCCTTTTATAAAGAAAAATTTTATATCTTATTAAAAAAATATAATTTTATAATGACTATATATTTTTATTTTACTTACTTTTATAATAAAAAATAATTATTTATCCTCCGAATATAAATGTTTACAATAACAGATACTATTTACGTTTCTTCTTTTAAGTCCTTTATTTCTCTCCTGCTACACTCCTGCTACGCCGCACCAGCTGCCTGCCTTTATGTTGTAAACTCGGGTGGGACTCTAGCACCGGCTCGGCTCGGAGAGGAGAGGACAGTTTTGTTGGTCGCTAAGCCTCGGACCTAAAGTAGGTATCTAATTAAGTATTTCCCTCAATGTTGGATGGATGTTGTGTTTATTTTTTATTTAATAAACCTAAATAAATATAACTGTCTAATTATTCTGCATTTTCGCATAAACATTTTCCAGATCCTTTTGTCCTTTTACCTAAAAAAATAAATAAATGTTCCAAATTTTCTCTCTTATTCCCGTAAAACCTTTTTATACCAAGTCTGTAGTTAAGTTCTATAAAAAAAAATCTTTAGTTAAATTATATACAAAAAAATTCGTTTCTTTATGTCAAAAAACTCAGTAACTATATTTGTAGTTTTAAACCTTTACCCTTAAATTTAGTCGGTAAAGAATTGGGACTACTTAAAGATGAGCTTAATAATAAAGTTATACAAGAAGCTTACTTCTTTGACAGGTTAAACAATATGGTTATTGGTTGTTAGATGATTTTAATTAATAAAATCGAACAATCTGTGTTTGCTGGGGTTACTAGAAATTCTATATCTTTTGAGGATGTAAAAAGAAAATTTAATGGGGGTGTTTTTATACATAGAAACGTGCTAAGATTTTTTAAATCTTTCAAAGATTTAAGCATAACTATTAAAAATGTTGACATTTCTGTTTGTCAAAATAGTAGTAAGGTTTTAGTAAACAATGTTTTTATGCCCATAAAAATTTTCAACCTTGACCACGATTTGGATAATAGACCGTTGTATTTAAAACTTAAAAATTTAATTTTAAAAAATTTTAAGCTTTTACACTCTTTCTTTACACGTGATTAACCAGATTTGAACTGGTAACTCCTGTTTGGCTTAACAGATATTATACCATTTAATTACAACCACTTTTAACAAATGTTAAAAATCCTTTATTTACTAAAGAAGTTAGGAGAAGATGCAAAGGGGGTTAATAGACTCTTTTAATGTAGTAAAGCCTAATTTATTTATTTTTTGTTGTTTTTGTTGTTGTTTTTGTTTTGTTACCATTTTTTGTTGTTGTTTTCCTCAAGTTTTAACCTTTTTGTGTAATACTTAAATATATCCCTAAACACTTTAAAACCTGCCCTATCCCAAATCATTACTTTCTTTTACACCCTATACATTACCCTCACTTTACCCTGCCCTATCCCAAATCATTACTTTCTTTTACACCCTATACATTACCCTCACTTTACCCTGCCCTATCCCAAATCATTACTTTCTTTTACACCCTATACATTACCCTCACTTTACCCTACCCTCTTACCCCTATCCTAAGGCTAAGGAGCCGAGGCTCAAGGCAAAAAAGTAAAACGTTTCCCTTTTGGTCATTTTTTTTAAGGACCTATTATCCTAGGGTATGATTGTAATTTAAAGTAGAAAATTAGAAAACCAAAAAATATATTCAAAAATTATAATTATAAAATAAAATTATAAATATATAAACTTTCTTTTTTTAAATAATTAATATAAAAGTATCGATGACAATATAGTATAACATCACAAAAAATAAAAAAGTAATTCAAAGGGGTTATTAAGGATAGCACAAGCAAATTTATACAAAAGGAGGTGTCAACCAATGCTTTCATAATATTAAATTATTTATCGTGAAAGCGATCCTAAGGGAAACCTTTTAATTAATACTTCCTGAAGTAAAACATTTTAGTAAGGAAAGGAAAGGAAATCAACCGAGACTCCGAAAGTAATGGTGAGTGAAATCGGATTAGCCTAAGATTATCTTTTATAAATTGAATAAATTAACTCTTTTTTATAATATTCTTAATAAAATTTATACCAATAAACTTAAATAAGTAATATGAAAAAAAGAACTTATTTACAAATAATTTTATTTGAAATAAAAAAATTTTGTTCAAAGAAGGTTAAATACAATAAGTCCTGTAGATTTATAAAAAAATAATATAATAAGTACGATGAGAGTTAACTTGTCGGAATATAGGGGAACCATCCTCTAAGGCTAAGTATTATAAATTTAGCGATAGTGAAAAAGTACTGTAAAGGAAAAGTTTGAAAAGCAATGGTTTAAAGAAACATAAGAGTAATTATTAAAATTTAAATAATATCTAAAAAATATTATAATTTAATAAATGCCGGTGAAAAAGATCTTGAATTAGTAACTCTATAAGCAGTCGAAATTTCAAAGAAATGACGGCGTACCTTTTGCATAATGGGTCAGCAAGTTAATAGGAGTAGCAAGGTTAAAAGCCCTAGCGAAAGCGACTGGACTATAATTAAAATAAAGGTTTTCAACTTTTTAACATAAAAAAATATAGTGATGGATAAGTTACTTCTATTAGACCCGAAGCCAGGTGATCTTACTAAGACCAGATTATAATGGATCGAACGGTGATGTGCATAATTCTCCGATGAGTTTAGTAAGCGGTGAATGCCAATCTGACCTGGTGCTATCTGGTTTTCTACCGAAACATATTTAAGTATGACATCTACACAAAATTTATGGAGGTACAGCAAGGCAATTCCCAACAAGTATAAGAGTCATTATTTCTAAATAATCTCGTCTTATAGGCGTTTAGGTTGTGGGACCTCGAAAATCTTACCTATGGAAGCGAATCTCGGAAGTACATAAATTGATGGTAGATATTCAGACTATCCATGCTAAGTTGGATAGTCAAGACGGAAACAGCCGAGAACATTGATCAAGGTCCCAAATGATTATTAAGTGAAATTAAGGATGTTTAAAATCGGATACAGCTGTGAAGTGAGCTTGGAAGTAGCTTCTTATAATGATCGTATGTAACAACGCATCAGCAGTCTAGATCTAGATTGTAGCGCCGAAAATTTAACGGGTCTAAAATAATCAACCGATATCGTGTTGGTTTAAAATAAAAATAAAAATAAAAAATAAAAATAAATAAATAAATAAATAAAATAAAAAGTTTTTCTTTTTTAAAATTCTTATTTTAAACCTAGGTAGTAGAACATTCAGTCAAACTATTTATAAAACAGTGTTTCATTGTTTTTAGGTAACTGAAGAGAGAATGCTGACATGAGTAACGTAAAAAGAAGTATAATACTTCTCGCCGAATACGAAAGGGTTGTAAGTGAAAGGTTAATCCACCTTACGTGAATGCGGCCTCTAAGGACTAGAACGAAAGTTTTGGCTGATGAGTATATAATAGAAATCCATTTTTTGGATCAGGAAATTAATATGAGATAAATTTATTTTTATCTGTAAGAACTTAATTTTATTTTTAATAGGTGTAAATTTTACAAATTTTATAGTAACCTTTATTCTTTTTATTTTTTAAATAAGAAAATAGAAAAATCAAATTAAGACTACCGTACCCTAAACCGACACAGGTTCGTAGGTAGAGAATACTAAGGCGTAGAGCTAAAAGTTGTTAAGGAACTCGGCAAATTAACCTGCATTGTGTTCTTGGAAAACACATAAGTGGGTCAACCATCAAACTCCGGGGACACCCTAAAGGTCCTGATACCAAGCTATAGTCGAAAGGTTATAAGTGGCCAGATAATTACCTGGGTATGGTAACAAGTCAGGATATGATTGAAAATGAAATGGGTTATCGCGGATCTAAACAGAAAAAAAGTTTCTGTAAAAGAGCAGACGAGTAGACGGTGGTTATTGCATAAAGCCAATGCAATTAAGTGTACTCTAATGGGTTTCGAAAGAAACTATCAAATCAAAATCCATTCTAAACAATTAAATAAAAAATATTTTTCTACTTTAACCCAATCTTAAATAATAAACTTAAACCCATGGTTTATTACTTGGTTTTACCGATGCTGAAGGGTGTTTCTCCTTTGCAATTAAACCCGACGCCCAAATCCACATTAAAATGGAGGAGTTCTCCTCTTTTTTTAATCAAATTGCACATTAAAGATATTGCAATATTAGAACTAATTAAACACACTTTAATGGTAGGGAAAATAAGAACAAATGGAACAAATTCAGTTCAATACATAGTGGATCAATTAAAGAATTACAAGTAATTGTAGATCATTTTAATAAATACTCTCTTGTAACTCAAAAAGCTTCTGATTTTTTAATTTTTAAACAATGTTTTGAAATCATTAAACAGAGAGAACATTAACGGAAAAAGGTTTTTTAAATTAATCGGTTAAAAAGCTCTCTTAATTGAGGTCTTTCTGAAAAATTACAACAAACTTTTCCACACGTAAGCCTTGTAGAAAGACCAAAATATCAATTTAATGGTATTCCTAATCCTTATTGGATAGCAGGTTTACAAGTGGGGACGGTCTTTCCATTTAAATCTTAAAAACACAGAAGGTACTGTAAGTCCCCCAGCCGAAGGTGAGGAGTAGCCTCATAAGGTTTTCAATTAATCTTAATATTAGAGATGTTGAAGTTCTTAAAGGTTGTAATTTACTTCATACTTTAAACAAAACAAGTACTGTAGTGAAAGGAATGCTTAACCAGAATAATAGAATATGTCTCTATATCTGATAACACTGTAAGTCTTGCAATAACAAAAATCTGTGACTTAATTGAAGTAATTATTCCTTTTTTTGAACAGTACCCTATACAAGGTGTTAAAAGTTTAGATTTTGCAGAATTTAAAAAGGTTGCTATGATGATAGTTGCTAAAGAACATTTAACTATCAAAGGCTTAAATAGAATTTTAGAAATAAAATTAAACATGACTAAGCATAGAAAGTGGTAATATTTTATATTTTAATTGCATGATAAAATTGACTAGCCATGCATAAGTTTGACGACGAAGAGGTACCGCATATTATTAATAATAATTATTAAATAGTAAAATATCTAATATTTGTTCTTTTTATAAGGCGGTGACACATAATCGGAGGCCCCGACTGTTTACTAAAAACACAGATCACAGCAATCATGTAAATGATAGTATTGTGGTCGAAATTTGCCCGATGCCATTAATATAAGAGAGGTTATAGTTTCTGTGACTAATCGAAAGTCTGGTTAATAGCGGTCTTAACTATGAGGATCCTAAGGTAGCAAAATAAATTGGCCATTAAATGTGGTCCGGTATCAATAATGTAACGAGGGCCTCACTGTCTCTACAACTTGCTCAGTGAAATTGAATTACCCGTGCAGATGCGGGTTACCTCCAGGGGGACGGGAAGACCCTATGCAGCTTTACTGTAGTTAGTTATCATATTAATCTACAACAACCTTTGTTACTAGAGAATAGGTAAGTCGATAGACTATTTGTGGAAACCTTAAAACTTAGGTTGGGTTAATGTTTACCTTTATATAAAATAAAAACTTAAAAGGGAGAGGTTACTAATTGGCAGTTTGACTGGGGCGGTCGTCTTTAATAAAGTAGCAAAGTACATCCAAATATTTAAATTATTATAATGTTTAAGTTTAAATTTAATTTCTGAATTTAAATTATTTTACATTTCAAACAAATAAAATATAAAATATTATTATATTTTTTATATTAATATCTTTCATATACTTTTGTATATAGTAAAGAAATACACAAAAAATTAAAAAAGGTATAGCTAGAAATTGAATGGAGATCAATCAACCAGTGAAAGGTTGTGCAGGGCTCAATGGCGGTAAGCATGCTTAACTGAAAGACCTAAAAGTCGCACAGATACGTAAGTAGGGCATAGTGACCCCTCGCTATAATATGGGATAGACGGGGATCAATTGATAAAAGTTACGCTAGGGATAACAGGCTGATAGCCGACGAGAGTACACATTGTCTCGGCTGATTGCACCTTATGAACAAAAATAAATAAATATATTAACGCACACAAGATTACTCTTAAATTTAAAATTAAAAGTGATATAGGTAATATATATATTTATGACATTGGGGAATTTTAATAGAAATATTAACTTAGAATTTGGCTATTTGCTGGAACACCCTTAGAGCTATCAATACTTATTTTTTTAGTAATAAAATTATTTCATTTTTTTAATGATTTAATAAGTGAAAATTTGATAGATTGGGCAATCAGCAGGGAAGTGATTAAATTTAGATGTAAGTAATTGTAAAATTTCTCACCCCTCAACGATCACACGCCAACAACCAGAGCTTTTCCAATTTACTCTTGGAACTGGTTGAAGATATGATCTAAACTTAACTGAAAGGTTAAGAGTATTAGTCTAATTAGTATAATTTTTATAATTTCTTTATTTACTAATATATAATGCGATGTCGACTCATCCTATCGCTCACGGGGAAGAAGCTTGGAAGGGTTCGGCTGTTCGTCCGATTAAAAGGGTACGCGAGTTGGGTTTAATACGACGTGAGTCAGTATGGTCCCTATCTTCTGGAGGAAGAAATAGTAAAAAGGGGCAGACCTTCTAGTACGAAAGGATCAATAGGCTGTGTTTCTCTAGTGTACCAATTGTTTGTACTAACTTTTTTGTTAGGGACCTGTTTTAAATGTAATAGGAAAAGTCCTTTTATAATTTATATTAAGCAAATAAATTATACTTTCTTTTTAAATATACTGTTTTTAAATCTTTAAGTGCGAAACAGTTAAAAGAGTTGAATAAAAAGGCTACAAGAAATTAGGAATGCATAGTTGGGTAGCCACAAACATAATAGATAAGTGCTGAATGTCTATCAAGCAAGAATCTAACCCCTAGATACTAAAACGATTTTTATTTTAATATATTTTATATATCAAAATTTAAAGTCGTAAATTAAGAAATAGAACATTTCTAGATAGGCTGCAAATGTAAATATTGTAAAATAAATAGTTTAGCAGTACTAATTTATAAAAATACTAGATGTTAAAGGTTGTAAATTTCATTTTTTATTTCTTTTTATTTGTGGAAACCTCTCCTCTGCTATGCTGCTATGCTGCTATGCTGCTATGCTGATGCGGGATACACCGAGCCAAACCATCCTACGGCAGGTAGATAAAAAGGCTGCAGCGGCTACGCTCCTCTGGCCAAGGAAAGGAGATTTTTAATTTTATTTTTATTTAAGCTAAATTTATTTTTATTTAAGCTAAATTTATTTTTATTTAAGCTAAATTTATTTTTATTTAATTTATTTTTATTTAAGCTTTGAGATATTAATTTAAAAGATTAAAATTTTAGATTCTAAGCTCTTATTTCTTTTCTTTTTTCTTAATCTCACGCTGGCATAGCAGCATAGCAGCATAGCAGAGCCGTTGGCGAAGCAGCGTACGGGTCGGACTTTCCCTTAAAGGAGGAGAAGTTAGTTCCATCCTGGTCAGAGGTGCTGCCTTTTTATCTAAGGATAAATTAAACCTAGGGGTAGGCTACTAATTTTTTTTAGGGTAGGCAGGAAGGGGACGAAGGGTTGGCTCGAAAGAGTAAAGTTTTATTTAAATATTATTTTTTTATATCATCTACAAAATTATATATAATAAATATTTTAAAAGAAGTAAAATAATATAAATTAGAGTAATAGTAATAGTAATAGTAATAGTAATTTAAAAATTTTTTATTTTACTAAAATTTATATTTAGATTATTAAAGGTCTTATGGCTGAGTGGTTTAAGCGAGGTACTGTTAATACTTTCAACAGAGGTTCGAATCCTCTTAAGGCCTATAAATTAGAAATTATATTTTTTAATTTTCTAACAAAAAAAAATTAGATATCCTCCTACGGCTTTTTTTTTTCGTCTTCCTTCTCCCTTTCAAGATAAAAACAAAAAGGGTAAAATTTATTTTAAAAGAGTATTATATTCAATATTAAGATAATATACAAATAGTTTTTATTCTTTTTTAATTTTAAATAAAAGTTATTGCCTACCTTGCCTTACCTTTTTTGAGATCGTATAGATGGTTGGCCACAAATCTTTAGGCGAACATGTTGAAATTTGGTAAACAATCTCCTCTTAAGCAGGAGTGGAAGTAATTCCTTAAGAGTTCGAGTCTCTTTGTTCGTAGTCCTGTTTCAAAGATAGTGTTCAATAATATAATATTATATAAAAATAAATATTATATTTTATAATAAATAAAAAAAGTAAAAAATAAAAAAATTATGTACAAGATTATGTAAAAAAAAAGATAAACAAAAAAGATAAAAATAAAAATAAAAATAAAACTAAAAATAAATAAAAAAAATAAATAAAAATAAAAAATAAAATAAACTTAACAAATTTATTTCTTCCATTTTCTATTTTTTATATAAAAGAAATAATTATAATAAAGAGAAAAAAAAAGAAGCGAAATAGTGTAATGGTTTAGCACAACAGTCTCATGATCTGTTAGATTGGGTTCGATTCCTAATTTCGTCATTCCAAAAAAAAATAATAAATATAGATAAAAATAAAAATTTAACTGTTATTTTTATTATAATATTATCCTTTAGGATCCTTTAATATAGTGGTTCGTACAGCTCCCCTTCAAGAAGCTAGCATCAGTTCAATTCTGATAAGGATCGATGAAATTACTATATTATTTAAATTTTAAATAATGTTTTAAATATAAATATTTGTTTCAGCCTGAGGCTTTAGTATCTTTATGTTCAAATATATTTTTATATTAATATTGATGCAAATAAATAGAAAAAAGAAAACAACTCATAAAAAATCCCAAATTAGATATATAAAATATGTAGTTAAATTAGTTAAATTAGTAAAAATTTTAATAAATTAACTAACCAAATTAACTAACCAAATTAGAAAGGAATAGTTTTCATTGGTAAGATAAGGCAATTGCTAATTGTTCGGGTTAACGCTCTTAAGTGTTCGAATCGCCTCTATTCCGTAATTCTAAAGTTAAAAATTATCCTTCGGTCTCTTTCAGAACCATTTAGGTATAGGAGGAGAACCTAAAAAATAAAATAAGCATATTTGTTTACAAGTATTCTAATAATTATGTAATAGTTTAATGATTAAAAATTTTACATAAGGATAAAGTATTAAATAAATTTATATTTTTTACTTTTTATTCTTTTGTTTGTAATTTTTTTAATAATAAAAATAAAATGTGTAATTTTATTTGTCCTTTTTTTCTAACTGTATGATTATAAATCTCTCAAAACTTTAGCCTTCTTAGTAAGATAAGGTAGAAGGGCTCGGATTGTATCAGTTCAAAGGGGAGGAGGAAATCTAATTTTTTTTAAATTCTGTTAGCTGACTATAAGAAACAATTAAGATTGAAACTCTTAAGTGAGTTGGCTTAATTCCACTAATGCCAAAGAAATTGGAACACTTTACCTAATTTTCTCAGTATTTGCTGGTATGATTGGTACTGCTTTTTCAGTCTTAATAAGATTGGAACTTGCAGCTCCTGGTGTTCAATTTTTACAAGGAGATCATCAATTATTTAATGTAATTATATCTGCTCACGCATTTATTATGATTTTCTTTATGGTTATGCCTGGATTAGTAGGAGGATTTGGTAATTATTTCTTACCTATCCACTGCGGAGCTCCTGATATGGCATTTCCTAGATTAAATAATATCTCCTTCTGGTTATTACCTCCTTCATTAATTTTATTACTAGTAAGTTCATTAGTAGAAAATGGAGCTGGAACAGGATGGACAGTTTTGGAGTTATTACTAATTATTTTTTATGATTTAGTAATTTTAGATAAGCTGTCTAGCTATAGTAATATAGCTTTATTAAACCCTACTCGATGCGAGGAAGTTCTTCTACTCGGAAGTAATTGCTCATCGTTTAAAAATAACGGTAGAAAAAATGTTACTAACATGGAGACAATTCGCCTGAATAATAGAAAAAAAAGTTTAAATATTATTCATCAGAGACTAAACGTAGGGCATCTTATATCACATTATACCACGTTAACTATAAATAAAAATTCATTATCTGAAAATAAAGAAATATTTCATCAATGATTAGTAGGTTTCACGGATGGTGAGGGTACATTTTCTATAGTACGTCAAAATGAAAAATGAAATCTAACTTTTAAAATTAGTCAAAGTACTTACAATTTAAGAGTTTTAAATTATATAAAAAAACAATTAAAAGTAGGAAATATAAATATAGAAAAAAATAAAAAAATTTGTAATTTTAGAATTAGAGATCGTTCTATATTATTTAATATAATCTTTCCTATTTTTGACAAATATCCTCTTCTAACTTCTAAAAAATTTGATTATGATAATTTTAAAAAAGCCTATTTTATTTTATCGGATAGTAAATTAAATTCTATCGAGAAAGATAATTTTATTTTTAAATTATTAAATGAATTAAAACCTATTGAATATATTTCATCTGCTTGGCGAATACCCCTAGATACAGTAGGTGCATTTAGATTTAGCAATTTTGAATCTTTAGTTGATAATACTATTTCTAATTTTGAAAACGCTTCTAAAGTTATGAGTAAACCTTGGTTAATAGGATTTACAGAAGCAGAAGGAAGTTTTTATTTAGTAGCTAAATCTAAAGATAGATTAGTACATGCTTTTGAAATAACTCAAAAGAAAGATAAAATTGTATTATTAGCTATAAAATATATTTTACATATTAATACAAAAGTTCAACATAAAAAATCAGGATAGTATACTATAGTTACAACTAACTCCCGGGCTATTGAAAATATTATAAAATATTATGGTAATACTATGAAAGGTATTAAATCTTTAGAATATAGAATTTGAGCGAGAGCTTATATTAAACATAAAGGTAACTTTATGGCTTTAAATCATATTCGTGAAAAAGTAAGAATAATGAGAAAAAAATATATTTAAATTTTAACGCTAGCCTTAAGACCCTGTCTACCCTGCAAAAAGCTGCTATCTTTCCTAACTTAAGGCAGGCAGGTTACTACCCTCCCGGTCCTTATCCTTGGTCCTTCGGATGGACAGGGGTCCTTCGGAAGGAAGGAAAGGAAAGGAGGATGTTTAAAGGTAAGAACTGTAGGTAAAAAAAAATATAAGATTGAAGGAATAGTCCGACCTCTAGTGAAAATTAGAGAGTGTAATGATAGTTTTTAATTATATTTTTTATATAACTTTAAATGAGATTACCAACAAAATTTGTTATCCTCCTTTAGCTAGTGTTCAATCTCACTCTGGTGGTTCTGTTGATTTAGCAATCTTCAGTCTACACTTAGCAGGTATTTCATCTTTATTAGGAGCTATTAATTTTATAACTACTACTTTAAATATGAGAACTAATGGAATGTCTCTACATAAATTACCTTTATTTGTATGGGCTATTTTCATTACTGCTATTTTATTATTATTATCTTTACCTGTATTAGCTGGTAAATTTGTGCCAGCTTTAAATCTGGCTGTATGCTGGAAACTCTTTTTACCTTTAGGGTTTTTTAAAGACAATCAGCAGGTAACACTTATAAATTATATCTTTGAGTGGACCTCAACGACTGTGCGCCTAGAACTATCTTTCTTTTTTACAAAAATGGGTTTAAGTTGCCCCCTTTTCTTTAATTCTTACCTAACAGGACTAATAGAAGGGAACGGTTCTATTTGTGTCCCCAAAAGAGAACGATCCGAAAAAGGAAAATTATATTATCCTCTTGTTCAAATTGTCTTTCCTTCTAAAGACTTTCCACTTTGCCAATCCATTCAAAAAATATTAGGTTTTGGATCTATTAGTAAGAAAAAACAAAGTGCCGCTTACGTTCTTAGTATTAATGATTACGAAGGACTTGTTAAAATTTGTCATAGAATAAATGGAAAATTACGAGGTCCTAAGTACGATCAATTTTTATTACTTATTAATTATCTTAATAAAAAAGCACCAGAGAAAAATTACGAGTTAATTCTACCTTTAAATTTATGCAATATCTCTTTCAATAAAGACAGCTGGTTAACTGGTTTTATTGAAGCTGATGGTTGTTTTCAAATACGAGCTAGTCAAACTAGTAAAAATCCACGTATCTCTCTTAGTTTTGAATTAGTGCAAAGTCGTGTCACCCTTTATGGCAAAAGTACGTATGCTCTAATGAAAAATATTTCTTGTTTTTTAGAAGTTAATCTAAATGAAATAAGATCTGATCGTAAACATCCTCAATATAGACTACGAACGAGCAGTCTTAAAACAAATCTATATATTAAAGATTATCTTAATCAATATCCACTATGTGGTACTAAATTTATGGATTTTAAAGATTGGTGTAAAGTTCTTAATTTCTTTAAAGAAGGAACACACCAGGAAAATAAGACACAAATAATAGAAATTAAATCACAGATGAATCAAAAACGAACAGTTTATAATTGGGATCACCTACAATAGTAAATTTAGATAGTAAGAGACAGTCTCAACTTGTATGTGAATACAAGAGAGTTTCCCTTTTTATATTTTTAATTAAATATAAATTGAGTATATTTTTTTATTAGTATCTTTCTTTTTATATTTAATATATTAATTAGTAAATATACATAGATTATGAGTCTGGAAACCAAGATTTTTATGGCAATCACTATGCTTTTAACAGATAGAAACTTTAATACTAGTTTCTATGACCCTGCTGGGGGTGGAGATCCTATTTTATACCAACACCTTTTTTCAAAATTAAATATTTTTAATTCTAAAGAATCCTCAATTATAACTTCTAGCTTAATTTTAAGAAACTCTTCTTCTTTTTCTAAAAATAGTTTGGTGAGCCGGTCCCTACGGACCGTACGGTCTGTACCCCAAGAAAAATATTTTGATTTTACTTTGTTTAATTCAGAATATGAACGTTTAATGAATAAAAAATCTCCTTCTTTTTCTTTTTTAACATGGTTAATTGGTTTTACTGAAGGAGATGGTAGTTTTGTTTTAGCTAAAAGAGGAGATTTCTCTCTTGTACTCACTCAAGATACCCGAGATATTCAAATTCTAAATATGATACAAAAAATATTAGGTTTGGGTAAAGTGATTAAACAAGGTAAAAGTACTTCTCGATTTGTAGTACAAGATAAAAAAGGTTTATACCTTTTAGCTACACTGTTTAATAATAATTTAGTAACTTATAGTAAAAAGATATCTTTTCATAAATTTTTATCAGCATTAAATATGTATAATCAAAATGGAAACTTAAAATATCCTATCATTCCATTAAAAACAAATGATATTTCTATAATTAAACCAACCTTAAATGATGAATGGTTATGTGGTTTTACAGATAGGGAAGGATGTTTTTCTGTGTCTATATCTAGTATAAGTAATAAATTTCACATATGTTTTGATATAGCACAAAATCATATAGAAAATAAATACATCTTAGAGCATATTTCTAATTTATTTAAAGTTGGTAAAGTTTCTAAACATTCAAGTGAAAAAGCTTATTATTATAGAATAGGTGGACTTAAAGATTTAAAAAAAATATTTCCTTATTTTGATAAATATTCATTACGAAGTAAAAAAATAAAGAGCTATATACTATGGAGAGACCTTCATACTAAATTAGAAAAGAAAGATCATTTAAATCCTACATTAAGAGAATCTTTGAAAGTTTTAGCAAGTAAAGTTAATAATAATTGGGATTAGTATTTTAAATTACGGAAAAAAAGGGAAAGGTTAAATCGTGAGATTTAAATAAATTTAAAGAGCAGGTGTGCCTACATTTTTTGTACATAATTAAAAAGCAAAGTAGGTTATTCGAGTTTACTCAATTAAGACTCTTTAGACTAAATTCTTTCCCTAGTCCTGACAATTTGGTTTATATAACTATTAGAAGAAAGTAAACTATTTTTAGTTTTAGAAACAAAAAACAAAAACTAAGGTTAAAGTTGTTAACCTTTCCTGACAGGGAAGGGATACAGAATTATGATTTATATTTTTTAATTCTGTTGGGCTACACTAGTGTAATTTACGGTTAATAGTTTCTCGACTAAAGACCGTCGGTCGTCTAATAGATCGCTACAGACTGGGTCACTGGTGGTACCTGAAATGGTGCTTAATGTACAGTCGGTTTTCTTAAGTTTTATACTTCACAAGGCTATCAAGGAAGCAATAACGAAACTAATTAAAATAAAAAGATACATTATTAGGGGATGTTATTGGTGAGGTAGTACAGGGGCCTTAGAGAGAGAGAAAGAATCTAAGGTTTAAGAAATTGGGTTCTTTGGTCAAATGTGGCCCTATTTAGAAATAATTCTTAAATTTGAACTATGCTTGTATGCGGGGAATGTCTTGAATTCAGATTTACTACTTTGTATTTAAGTGGTAGTCTTTTGATACCCCGTGCAAGTAAAAATGTTAAAAATGGGACACAATCCGCAGGTAACCACCGACACCCTAAAAGTAGTCCAGTAGGAACCTCAGAGACTACACGCATAGCAACTTTTTCTAAAGAATTCTGTGAATGGTTATCGGGTGTAATAGATGGCGATGGTTGTCTTCTTGTTAGTAAAAAAGGCTATACAAGTCTTGAAATTACTATGGGATCAGAAGATATTAAATTACTCAGATACATTCAAGATAAATTGGGTGGTCAAATTAAATTAAGAAGTGGTGTAAAAGCTTATCGTTATCGATTACATAACAAGGAAGGAATGATTAAACTTATTCATTGTATAAATGGTAATATTCGAAATAGTAAAAGATTATTACAACTTCACCGTGTGTGTTTAAACCTAAATATAAAAATTATTGAACCTTTTGAACTCGATAAAAACAATTTTTGGTTTGCAGGGTTTTTCGATGCTGATGGCACAATTGGATTCCATATTAAAAATTTTAGACCTCAACTTAGTGTAAGGGTAGTAAATAAATTATTACAAGATGTTAAATTTTATCAAGATATCTTTGGGGGAGCTATTTACTTTGATAGCTCTCAAAATGGTTACTATCAATGGTCAATACAAAATCGAGAAAATATTCTAAAAATGCAAGAATATTTCAAAGGAAAATGTAGAAGTCATAAATCCCAACGATTCTTCCTTGTTAATGAATACTATCGTCTATTAGATCTTAAAGCCTATAAAGAAAATAGTATCCATCAGAAAATTTGGAATATTTTCACAGAAAAATGGAAAAAGTTGAAGATATAGTCCGTTCTCGATACTTTAAATTTTTATTTTTTTTTATTTTTTTATTTTTTATTTTATTTAAATTTAGTAGAGAGAAAGCACCCAGAAGTATATATTTTAATTATACCTGGTTTTGGTATAGTTAGTCATATTGTATCTACATTCTCAGGAAAACCTATTTTTGGATATATCGGAATGGTCTATGCAATGTTCTCTATCGGAATTTTAGGTTTCTTAGTATGGAGTCACCACATGTTCAGTGTAGGTTTAGATGTAGATAGATTTGTGTCTACAGAACTTCACCTAGGTCTTTACAATTGGGCTCTAGGTGAATGGGAAAAAATCTTGCTGTATGCTGGAAACTCCAGTATTAGTAGTCCACTCGCATTTATTGCGTTAGGAAAAATCTACTTAAATATTACCCCTGGACAATCAGCAGGAAACTTTAGTTTTAGTACAAAAGCTACGGCAGTTACTAAAAATACTTATAATAATTATAAAAAACTTCCTAAAATTTCTGAACATGTTCCTGCACCTGCGAAAATTAATAATCTTACAAATAATGAGTTTGGTTATTTTTTAGCTGGTCTAATTGAAGGAGACGGTTGGTTTGGTCATAAAGAGTTACATATTATTTTTGCTGAAAACGACATATCATTGGCTTATTCTATTAAAAATAGAATTGGTCATGGTAACGTTTACAAAATAAAAGATAAAAAAGCAGTTAGATATATTTGTAAAAATAAAAATGGTCTTTCTATAATTTTATCTTTGATTAACGGAAAATTGGTAAGTAAACCTAAATATGAACAATTAATTAAACATAATTATAGTGATAATTTTAATTTAACTATTAATGCACCATCTAATTATTATTACATAAATAATCATTGGCTGTCTGGCTTTACTCAAGCGGATGGTTGTTTTTATATTAGTTTAGCTAAAAGTAAAACACACAAAAATGGATTTAGTGTGAGATTAGAATTTTCTATTAAACAAAACGATAATATCCCTCTAAAACTTTTATTTGAAACTGTAAAGTTGGGTAATCTCTCTCAATATAGTAGTGGTATTTGGTGTTACAAAAGTTCAGGTTTTAAAACAGCTGCACTTTTAATTAATTATTTTGATACCTTCAATATTTTTGCAGGTAAATATACCAACTTCTTAAAATTTAGAAAAGTTTATATTTTGATCACTCAAGGTAAACATTTGGAAGAGAAAGGTTTAATTAAAATAAAAAGTATTGCAACTAAAGGATCCTCAGAGACAAGTACGCAAGAAGCTTAAAATTTTTAAAAATTTTATAGTTAAGATACTGTCCATTTTTGCCTTTTTTTCTCTCTTCTTTTGTTATAATTTAAATTTATTGAGAGAAAAAAAAGAAAGACAAGAGCTTATTTTACAGCTGCTACAATGGTTATTGCTGTTCCAACAGGAATTAAAATCTTTTCTTGGCTGTCATATTCCTTTAGTAAGAATCTTAATATGGCCAATCAATTATACTTAAATGTTTTAGAGCATTATAGTTTTTTTAATGACAATTTAATTAAAATATTTCCTAGATCCAATAATAATTATTTACCTGAAAATAACAATTGTAAAAAGCTAGTTTTATATGGTACAAATTTAACTTCTACAGTTAATTATCCTAAATATACTAGCATTGTTAAATATATGGTTTCTATACCTAATAAAATTTTATTTCCTTTAATAGGTATATTATTATCTGATGGTTGTATAACTATTAATAATAGTAGTAAACTATTAATGAAAGAAAAATATCCTAAAAATGTAGGAGCTAGATTTAGATTTAAACAAAGTATAAAAAGATCAGAATACGTTTTTAATGTGTTTTCTATTATTTCTCATTATTGTATATCTTACCCTTTTTTAATTAAAACTAGAGTTAATAGAAAAGAATTTTTAGGTATTGAAATAGTAAGTCGCTCTTTACCTTGTTTTCTGATTTTATATAGAAAATTTTATTATAAAGGTAAAAAAATAATACCCATAGATTTTTTTGATTTAATTACTTATGAAGGATTAGCTCATTGGATCATGGGAAATGGTTCTTTTGTAAAAGGAGGCGGATTATATTTACAAACTCAAAGTTTTACTGTTAAAGAATGTATATTCATTATAAATACTTTTTATATTAAATTTGATATTACTAGTCAAATACATTTTCAAAGAGGTTTACCTGTATTATATTTAACAGTAAAATCTATTAATAAAATATATCCTCATATTGAATCATTCATTATTCCTAGTATGAAATATAAATTCCATTATAAATTAACTAATAGTACTTAATTACTTTTAAGTATATGTTATTCCTAGTATGAATATAATTCCATTATAAATTAACTAATAGTACTTAATTACTTTTAAGTATATGGGGGCAAACTCGAGGGAAGTCCTATTAAATAGAATAAGTAATATTAATAGGATAATCGTCGAACTAAATCATAATCAGGAAACTATTATGTAAAAGCGTAGAGACTAGATGCTCCATGATTTCTAAGTAAGATTTTTTAATTTTTAATTTTTAATTTTTAATTTTTAATTTTTAATTTTTAATTTTTAATTTTTAATTACTTTTTTATATGAAATTATAAGGAATAGTCCAAAATCACCGGTAACGGTTTAGAGCAAAACTCTAATAAAAATTTAAATTATGTACATAAAAAATTTAATTCTAATTTAAATTTAAGATACTAGGCCAACTAAACCTGAAATGGTTGAAGGCTGAACCTTGAGCAACTTTATATGGTGGAAGTTTAAGATATAATACTCCTTTAGTTTTCACTTTAGGATTCTTAGCTCTTTTCACTATAGGTGGGGTAACCGGAGTAGTATTATCTAATGCAAGTTTAGATGTAGCATTCCACGATAGAATTATTAACAAGGAATTAATGAAAGTTATTCCTTTTCTAAGTTTGAATAAAATTGGGTTTTCCCAAGTTAGAAAAGAAAATATAAAAGAAAATAAAAATCACTATATTGAACAATTTTTTGTAGGATTACTTGAAGGAGATGGTACTATTACCACAAATATCAATAAATCCAAAAAATCGATCAGAGTTAGAATAGTTATAGCATTAAAAAATGAAAAAAATAATCATAATATGTTAAATAAAATACAAAAGATTATAGGAGGGAGAGTTGTAATTGAGAGACAAGATAAATATGTCACTTGGATTGCAAGTAATAAAAGTGATATAAATAAAGTATTGTTAATCTTATCTAGATATCCTTTGTTAACAATTCGAAAACAATGTCAATTAGACTTTGCTAAAAATAGCTTATTATATAAAGACGTTGATAATTTTATGTTAAATAGAAAAAATATGTATAATAACATGAATGAATTATTAAAAAATTTAAATCAAAATAATAATATTAAGCTTCCTATATATTTTAATTCTTGGCTTTCTGGTTTTATTGAAGCTGAAGGAAACTTCAGTTTGATCTTTAACGAAAAAGGATATCTTAGAAAATCCTCTTTCAGTATTGGTCAAAACAATGAATTACATATATTAAATATGATAAAAAATTATTTTCAAAGTGAAAATAAAATTACTAAAGACAAGAAAAAATTAGATCCTAAAGGTAATATTTCAGACTCGGATCATTATAGATTGCATTTATATAACGCTTTATCTAGAAAACTTCTTTTCCAACATTTTGAAAAATATCCTTTACTTGGAGAAAAAAAAATATCATATGGTAAATTTTTTGATTTTCATAATAAAAATTTAAATAAAAATAACTAAGTATCCCTTGTTAAAAAACGTGTCGCGTGTCACATTGCTTGATTATCTACTATCTTACTATAATTAATATTTTAATTATATTTAGTAAATAATACTTAATTCGAAAATAAATTTTTTATTACGAATTTTGAACGGTGAAATTTATAATAAAGAATATTAATGCTATTCTATACTACAATTATTGTAAGCTATGCCGTGGGTTTTATTTTTATTGTAAGTTTGAAAATAAGATCTGTAGAGACTATACGCAATGTATTAATTTTAAAAGTAATTGTTAAAGTTAATAAAGAGATAGTCCATGCCCAAATAAATTACTAATTTGATATTTATATCTCATTGCCTTAAATCTAGAAAATTTTAATTTTTCGTTTGGTAAGGGTAATTTAAAAAATAAATAGAAGGTTAATAATAAAAAATATTATTAAATTAGTATACTAAAAAGGGATTTACATCACATATTACGTAGTCGCTCAAATTGGAGAGGGCCTTAATAATTTAAATTATTATGCATTTGACTATATGCTGGAAACTATATTTTTAGGTTTATTATTTACTATTAAAATTTCAACTTTATCTGTCACAAATGGATGTATATAGAAGTTTTTTTAAATTTAAATTTCTAAAATTTACTAAGTGAAAATAATAATAAAACCTGTGATATTTAACAAAAACAAAACTTATAAGAATTTATACTCATATTAGAAAAAACGATTATAATTTTTTTAATTTTTTTAAATATACAAATATGCAATCAGCAGAAAACTGTAAAGGATTTTCAGAGACTATACGTCAAATATCTTATTTTAACCAAGAGGAATTATTTTTTAATTGGCTAGCGGGAATTATAGATGGAGATGGTAATTTTGATATTAGAAATATAAATTCTAAATTGGTTTTAAAAGCTATTAGAATTAAATTACATAATAGAGATGTAAGAATTTAACAGATTCAAGATAATTACACATAGGTAGAATTAGAGCTGATAAAAATAAACCACACTCTTTGTGAATTATTAGTAAAAAAGAAGAATGTCCTTTTTAGTTAATAAATTAATGGTTTAATTCGACTTAAAGTTTGAAGGTTTTAAAAAAGCATGTGATTTTTTAGATATAAATTATATAGAAGCTAATTATACTTTATTACCATTTGATCCTTATTTTTCTGGATTAGTTGATACAGATGGAACTATTGTTTATAATTTTAATTCTAACAGAATTGAATGTAATTTAGAATTTAAATTAAATAGTTTCTCTCAAAAGCTGGATTTCTCTAATGTAATCCCTAATTACAAGCCTACTATTTTACTAAGAAAACATAAAACATCTAATAAAGTTTTTAATTCTATAGCTTTTAAATATCAAACTGTTAAAGGTATGGTTTTCTTATATGATTACTTTATGAAAAATAGGTTGTATTCTGATTTTAAATTTTATAGAATTTCTAAAATTAAACAATTTATTATTATTAGAGATTATCAAAAAGAACCTAAAGATAGTATAGAATTTAAAATATATTCTGATTTTATGTTAGATTGAATTCAATATAGAAACCCTATTTGGTTTAAAATTCCGTTCGTTAAAAAATTAGATAAAGAGATAGTCCATTAATTAAATAACATTTAATTAGCATTTCCACTATGTATTATCAATGGGAGCTGTTTTTGCTTTATTTGCCGGATTCTATTATTGGACTCCTAAAATTGTAGGTAGAACTGTTAACGATTTCTTAGGTAAAGTACATTTCTGGACTTTATTCGTGGGAGTTAATTTAACATTCTTCCCTCAACATTTCTTAGGTTTATCTGGTGTATTCCATTTAATATCTTGTACTAATGAAAATTTGCTTTTATCTTCTATTTTTCTTTTCCCTTTTGGGCCTTGTATAAAACCAATCTTTTTAAAGGAACCTGTGAGATTATATTATCCTAAATTAAATAGAAATCTTATTGGAACTGAAAATAGAAAAAGAGTTGTGATCTACCAATGGACTAATTTAATAAATGGGAAAATATATATAGGTAGTGCTTCTACAGGTTCTACAAGATTGCTAAGTTATTTTAACCCTAATGTACTGTTAAGAAATTTACCTATATATAACAGTTTAAGAAAATATGGGCATAATAATTTTTGCTTAGCTATTTTAGAAGATTTAGGATCATTGCAACAAATATCCAAAAAGTTTATATTAGAAAGAGAACAATATTATTTAGATATTTTATTTACTAAAGATGTAGAGAAAAGTTTAAATATCTATCCTACAGCAGGCTCAACTTTAGGTTTTAAACATAGTTCTATGTTTAAATTAAATAGAAAAGGTAAATTAAATCCTATGTTTGGTAAAACTTTTAGTCCTGAGTATCTTTCCATGCAAACAAGAGATAGAAAAGGAGTAAACAATCCTATGTTTGAGGTTAAGAAATCTCCTGGTACTATTTGTAAATTACAAAAATTAGTGTATGTATATGAAGCTGATACTTTAAAATTTATTGGTTTATTTCCTACAGTTGAGTGTATAAAACACTTTAAAATGGGTAAAGATACTTTAACTAAATATTTAAATAGTAAACTTCCTTTCAAAGGAAAAATATTTTCACGAGTACAATTATATTAAATTTTCATGCCTCTATGGTAATATTTAAATATACCATTAGTAAATTGGGTGAATTGCAAGAACATCCTAGAATTGTGGGTGCAAAAATTACACTATTCTAGGACAATTTGCAGCGAAGTTTATTTCAATATCTCCACAGAATAATAAAAATTAAATATTTTTTTGTGGTGTAGGAATAAAAACGTTCAACGACTAGCAAGTGAGTAGTATTAACAATAATCTTGCACTCTATATTCTTAATATAGTTAGCGCCCAATCATCCTTTACCCTTCTGACACTAGGCTAGCTACGTTGCTGGATGGAGAGATGAATGACATAGTCTGAACCTTTACTTATTTATAGCACAATAATTAAGTAGATATTATATAGGATTTAACTTTATTATTAAGTTAATATGTGGTTCTAATATAATTTCCCGTAAGGAAAGGAGTCTTAATTACATATTATAAATATGTCTATTAAGGATTAACACAAATTGATGCCTAGAAGAATACCTGATTATCCAGATGCATTTAGTGGATGGAATGCTATTTCTAGTTTTGGGTCATTAGTTTCTGTAGCAGCAACTGTATTATTCGGTTATATTATTTATGATATTTTCGCTAATCAACCTGCTTGCTCTAATAACCCTTGGGCATTCACTCCTTATTTCTCAAATGTAAATAATAGTGAAACTCAAACAGTAAATACATTAGAATGGACATTAGCTAGTCCTATACCATTCCATGCATTTAAAATGTTACCTGTTCAATCTTAATTAGAATAATTATTTTTATTTTAATTTTTGATTTATTTTTTTATTAAATTTTAACCCCCTCTCATTAGAATTTTGAAAGGCTCAGTTTACTTTACACTAATATTTTAAATTTTAAAGGTGGAAAAGTAAGGAGAAGTACGGACAAAATTTCACAAATTTTTCAATCTAAAGTTTATTTTTACGAATCTAAGGAATGAAAGATTATATAGTGTTTAAATATTAATATATTTGATTTAATATTAATATAATTGCATCCTTTTATTTTCTTATATTTATGTACATAAAATAGAAATATTTTAGTTATAAGGCTACTACTTCACGGAAGCCACAAATCATAAAGAAACAAAAAGGAAAAAAAAAAAAATATAAAACAAAAAAAAATGATTACTTTACTATTACTAATACCTATTATAGGTTCTCTTATTTTACTGTTTATACCTGAAACTTCAACTTCTGTTGCTATACAACAAGCAGGAGGAGCCGGTGCTAGTGGAAGTGTTATAGGAGGGAATCAAATAAAAATGAAAAAAATAGCTTTAATAACATCTCTTCTTAATTTATTCGTATCTCTATTTATTTGGTTCCAATTTGATTCTAATCAAACTCAATATCAATTTGTATCTGAATTTAATCAATTAAATTTTTGTCATTTAAATTTTGGTATTGATGGAATATCTTTATATTTTGTATTATTAACAACTTTTGTTACACCTGTGGCATTATTATCTAATTATACAAATATAACAAATAATTTAAAAACTTTTCTTATTTCTTTTTTATTATTAGAAAGTCTACAAATATGTGCTTTTGTATCTTTAGATCTATTATTATTTTATATATTTTTTGAAAGTGTGTTACCTATATTATTTATTATAATTGTGTTATTTGGACATGGGAATGATAGATTTAGATCTGCATTATTATTATTTTTATATACTTTAGCTGGTAGTTTACCTATGTATATGTATTTAAACAATTATTCTATATAGGTCCACAGATTTCAATTAATTTCTTTATATGAAATAAGTTTAGAGAGTCAAAAAATATTATGGTTAGGATTCTTTATAGCTTTTGCAGTTAAAACTCCATTATATCCTTTTATAATTTGGTTACCAAAAGCTCATGCAGATTCCCCTCTAGCAGGATCAATAATACTAGCAGCTACTATACTAAAACTAGCTACTTATGGTTATCTTAGAGTATTAATTAATTTTTTACCTGATGCTACAAATTATTTTAATCCTTTAGTTCAAACTATTGCAGTAATAGCTATAATTTATGCTAGTTTTTCTACAATAATCCAACAAGATACTAAAAGATTAATTGCTTATAGTAGTATTAGTCACATGGGTGTAGTAGTTTTAGGTTTATTTTCTAATACTATTCAAGGTATTGAAGGTGCTATTTTATTAGCTTTAGCTCATGGTTTTGTATCACCTGCTCTATTTATTTGTGTAGGAGGTATAATCTATGATAGAACAGGAAAAAGAATTATTAATTATATTAGAGGTTTAGCTACTTATATGCCAGTATTTACTATTATTTTCTTTATTTTTACTTTATGTAATACAGGTATTCCTTTAAGTCTTAATTTCTTAGGTGAACAATTATCTTTAATTGGTATTTGGCAACAAAACCCTATAATTGCTTCTTTAGGTGCTACTGGAATAGTATTATCTGCTTGTTATTCTATTTTCTTATATAATAGATTATCTTATGGGGATTATTCTCCACATATGCAACCTGTAAAAGATATTACTAGAAGAGAATATTATTTATTAATTAGTTTATTAATCCCTACAATCGCTTTCGGTATTTTACCTAATGTTTTATTAACTTCTCTTCATACTTCAGTTTCTGCTTTATTATATGCTTGTTAAAAGAATCTAATTGATCTTTTTAATATTTATACGAGTAATACCAAAGAAAAACTTCTTTTTATCTTATCTTTTTAAGTACAAAGAAGGGAATATTTTTGTTACAAATTTAAATATTTAAGAAAAAAAGATTAAATTTGAAGTTTTTTTATTTTGCTTAAAACTAAAATTATAATTATACAATATACATTATATTTAGCTAAGAATTTATTATTTGAATGCTACGCCTCGGATAGTTTTTTTTATTAAATTTTAACCCCCCTCCCCTTTACTGTAGGTCCCGAGCCAAGGCTAAGCACCTGTCCTCTCCTCTACTCTCCTCCTGTAGGCAAAATACGAGCCAAACCTAAAGGCAGACAGGCCGCAGGCAGCCTTAAAGTAGGGTAAACAAGCTCCGGATTTATAGAATTTCAAATTTAGTTTTTTAAAATTTATATTTAAACCTTCGTCCTACAAAAAGGATAGGATTAAAAAAGAAGATAAAATAAATATTACTTTTTGTATAATGAATTTAAAATATCATAGTACAAAGAAATTAGAGTTTTTCCTTTTTTAAGAGGTTCAAATCCTCTCAAGGTTCTCGCAACTTATTGTACAAAGAGTTATAGCGAATTATTTTTAGTACAAAAATATTTAAACCAGTTCAACTCTTCCTTCCACCCCAATGCAGTTAAAAGGGTAAGGTAGAACAGGGCTGCGATCTTTTCTTTAAACATAAAAACGATTACTAGAAAAATAGCAGACTTTTTTATTTTTATAATTAGGCCTAAAGAAATATTCCTCTAAATCTAAATATAAAATAATATTTATTAATAAATATTATTTATTTACCCTTTTTTTTATTACTATACTTAAATTTTTAACTTAATCCTATTTATCCCTCCTTCCTAACATCCTGGAGGACCCGAAACGTTATTTGACTTTGGTGGGTTGCTGCTCCACACTGGATGCCTTTTAAGGCAGGGGTATTGGGAAGGACGCTTGTTTTAAAGTATTATATTCTTTTATTTTGTTTATTTAGTATTTATTTTTAGTATATAAATTAAAAAGTAACATTATATTTGGAATATTTCTTTTACAATACTGAAAGTCCTTTTTCTAGGTTAACCTACTATTTTATTTTATTTTAAATTTCTACATTTTTTTCTATATTTTTAATAAAGGTTTATATTAACTCTTTTTGTCTAGCCTTACCTTAAAAAAATTATAATTATTAAAATGCTAAAATTCTATATTTAGAAAAAGAAATATACAAATTTTTGATTGAATAACTTTTGTTTTAAGCCTTTTAAATCATTATAATTTATATTTGTGAATAAATAATTTGTTTTTAAACTATATAAACATAAATATAATAAAAATAATCGAGCATAAAAATCTATCCTATTACTAATCTAAAACATATAAATTTTAACTGGAAAATTTCACCTTTCTTACTAATTATTAAGATTCGTATCCTTAATGTACAGAATTTGCCCCTCCACCCCCCCTACTCCTTAGGTTTGTGGAAGAAGGACCATATTTGCATCCTCTCCTCTCCTCTCCTGTCCTGTAGGTCCCGAGTTTACAAAACCTACGGCAGGCAGCAAAAAACGCATTTTAATAGTAGATGTTTAACTGTCATGGTTCTACTTCTTTAAAGGAGGAATAAATAGAAAGTATATACTGATAACAGAATTATTAAAAATTAATACATTAAAATTTATAATAAATAACAGCGTAATAAGGAAAAATTATGTAGGCTAAATTAATTCTTAAATTTAAATTGATAATTAGAAAAAATTCAGTTTTAAATCAAGAAAAAAATTAAATTACTAAAAATGACAACTTTTTTTGTAAATATTTTAGCTTTAGGTACTTTATTTTCTAGTGTTTTTGCTATTACTTCTAAAAACCCAGTAATTTCAATTATTTTTGTAATTGCCACTTTTGTTCAAGCTGCTGGATACTTAATATTCATTGGTGTTAATTTTATAGGTATTTCTTATATTGTAATATATGTAGGTGCTATCGCTGTATTATTCTTATTTGTAATTATGATGATTAATATTAAACTTACAGATATATTAGAAACAGGAAATCAATATACTAAAAATTTACCTTTAGCTTTAGCAATAGGTTCTTTATTCACATATGTAATATTTACTATTATTCCATTTAATTTAAATAATGTACCTGCATTATCTTTAATCTCAGAATCATTAATTAATTTAAATAGTTTAATATTAAATTCTAATCTTATTTCAAAAGATTTCATTAGTATAATCGTTAATGCTTACTATAATTTATCTCTTTCAGATATTAATATTACAGATTTTACACAAATAGAAACATTAGGATATAGTCTATACACATATGGTGCTATTTTCTTAATTATCTTAAGTGTTATATTATTATTAGCTATGTTAGCTACTATTATTATTTCAAGATCTAATAAATAAGATATTTGAAGGATTATATTTTAACCCCCTCCCCTCCTACGGTCCTCCGGTCCTCCGGTCCTCCGGTCCTCCGGTCCTCCGGTCCTCCGGTCAAGTAAAACAAAATTATATTTCTATTTCTA